GTGTTTACAATTAATATGAACCTATTTCTACTACAATTTTTGTTGTCAAGTTTACTTAACAATTGGTCATTAATCTTCGTTCGCGAATACATACTGATTAACAATTTGTACTAGAAATTGGCGAACAAAAATCAACACCGCTTTAGTGCCTTACTTAGTAATCTTAATCTATTTTCGACTCTACAACGAATCTATAAAGCAACCAACACTTTATCCTCACTTTGTTTACTACATTTACTGACCAGTTTTTCGCAACCAACTTTATCTCTCTCCACATGAAACACACACAAAACGATTTAATTTCGTGAAAGGTTGGGAAACGCTTGTTTGAGGAAATTCATTCTTGTAATGCTGTTCTTTATTATTCCACTGTTTTTGGTTTAATGATTAGGCTCCAATTGAGATCAGATCATTGGATTTAAGTAAAATATTTAATGTGTAATAATTTACGGATAAGTTTTTATAAACAATTATATTGCTTGAATGCAATGACCTGTTTCGTAGATTAACACACAACTTAAGCAATTAACTATTCGGCGGTTTTGTAAATATGAAATATTTCGATAAATGATACGAATATGATGATGCGTTTGTTATATAATGAAACGAATCGAGCAACACGCTACTACTTACGATTGTATAAATAAATATTGTATGAAGATGGAATTTTGGAAGAACGTTGATGTGATATTGAATTATCACGATCTTGTGAAGGGGTTTGTAGTTGCGAAAGAGAAGTAAATAATGTAAACTGCGACAAGTATTTTAAGAGCTTCTATGGATGCTACGATTATATAAATAAATATTGTACGAAGATGGATATTTGAAAAGTTGAATGACATTGATGTGATAGTGAAGTATCACGATTTTTCCAAGGGGTTTATAGTTACGAAATGCGACGAGTATTGTGAGCGCTTTTGTGGATGCTACTATTTTATGAATAAATATTGTATGAAGATAGAATTTTGGAAGGACGTTGATGTGATAATGAATTATCACGATCTTGCGAAGGATTTGTAGTTGTGAAAGAGAGGAGTATTGTGAGCGTTTCTATGGATGCTACGATTATATAAATAAGTATTGTATGAAGATGGATTTCTGATAAGTTGAAGGAAGTTGATGTGATATTGAAGTATCACGATCTTGCGAAGGGTTTTGTAGTTGCGAAAGAGAGGAGTATTGTGAGCGCTTCTGCGGATGCCAAGTATACGCGGTAATGGTGAATTAACTGTTTTGAGATTTATTGGCTTAAGACACAATAGTTGATGGAATTTTGAGCGGAATGTTATGTTTAACAGTAACCGTAGAGGTGTTCGACCATTACTAACTCATCACGCTTTTGTTTTGGCCGTTGTGCGAGGATTAGTTGCGAGGATTTGGATGAGAGCAGAGCCCACTAGGTTTGGAGTGTTTCTTTAGGTGTTTGTTATGTTTATGTTTTGTTTCTTATCTTGGGAGTCTTGATCGAGCTTGAGCTTCTTACTACTTTTGTTTATTTATTATAACCACAATAGACCACACACGGACAACCACTGGCTGTATTCTTGCACAGATCGATCCGGGTGTCTTTAAAGTCGTTGATTGCATATGGAGGATACACAGGAGGAAGGAAAAGAGAAAGCATCGTCCGGAGTTTGCTTTTTGGCTGCCGATTTGATAATGAATTCATGTGAATGATAGAATACTACTACTACACACCCAACCATCACGCATCCATCTGCAATGTTCAGAAGTGCTTTATTTTGTTTTTGTTTTTGGTGTTAACTCTATCTTTATCCTCTACCATATTTATATCTACCTCATAACACCCATCAATGGTAAATGCATTATTGTTGTTGTTGTTCTTGGATCCCACGGTACCAGAGGCGCTTTTACTTAGAGGCAGGATTCTCGATAACTCACCAAGTTGGAAAAATCATTCGATTATTACTGCGTAGCATTTTGTTTTTACTCATTTAATTCATATATAAATACGACCAAATTTGCACGACCTTTAATACTGTATTCTACATGTTGTTTAATTATTTTTAAATTAATTATCCTTTACAATCTTTTTCTCCTCTAATACTATATTGACATTATTACTCGATTCTATTTCTTTCTTTTCTTTATTACTACTCTCGAACCTTTTATTACTCGTTTTTTAACATTATTTCTCTCTCAATTTTTTTCTCCTTAAATATAAATCTCTTTATTGTCGTTTATTTATTATAATGTTCTGCATCCGTTTGATTTCTCGTTCTTATTTTATTCTACTATGTTTACGTAATACGTTGTGCATCGAGATGTTCACTTCAAGCTCTGAACATTATTTTGCAGCAAAGTAGACGAAGGTCGTAGATAGAACATCTCCATGCACCGAAAATGACGCTTGGACCTGCTGTTAACTAACTCATAATGCGCTGATGCTAAAGGAATTAGAGATGGAGGAGAATCGGAACCGGAAACAGTAACTTGCATGTTTATGTGTGTGCGTTCTTAGATATATTTTTTGTTTGTTTTACTACCGAGATTCGAATAAATGAGCAAGAGGAACGAAGAATTAAGGATCAACTGAATGGGACGAAGATGGATTTCGATGAAGGATTTTGATGTTTTCGTTTTGTGAAGATACTTAAGTTAATCAGTGTTCTATAATGACAATTAAAGTAAAGTGCGTTTCGATGATCGTCATTAGTTTGCTCGGATTTAATTAATACACTTAGGCTCCGCACTTTATCTATTGCATTTTCTGTACTTTTTTTCGTGTATTTATTGTCCACTAAAGCTTCAGCTTATTTCTCGTAGACGACCTCTTCTCTAATTAATTCATTAATTAACAACGACCGCTACTCAAGAAACAACTTTTCCTACAATCACAACAACAACAATCCAAGAAGCACCGACAATGAAGAAAAAAATGTAGAAGAAACAAATGTATATTAATTAAATAAAATTGAGATCATCGATTGGAGAAATGTAAATAAATATTTATAATTATGAATAGGAAAATCTGCACGGATGTCTCCAAGCGGAGATTTGAAGGATTTTACAGCTTTTAAGAAGATGATAAAATTGAATACGGAGAAGATTTTTGAATTATCACTGTTGTCCACTGCGAAGAATAGGAAATCCGCTCTTCATGAACGTCATTCGATAAGTCGAGAAGAAAATAAACCGCATTAACACAACAAAAACCATGACTTCGGTCTTTTGCGATTTGGTCGAAAGTACCAATAAAAATGGTTATAAATTTGAATTGTATTTAAGAAAACAATTTATGCAGCATCAATTGATTAAGAAAAGAAACGAACAAAAAGTTATGAAACTTAAAATATAAAGAAATCTCAATGACAAATAAAATGCGAAATTTCGCAACTGTCTTGACTTAAGCGATGAAATTTATGTATATTATGATACAATTTTAATAGTAAATACATGCACATACCTTCGCAATTCTCGTAAAAAAAAATACAGAAAAACCAATAAATCTATATAGATCGTGAAATGTTATTTCTATTAATATCACCAACAAACAAAAAGAAGAAATTGTAGTATGTATAAGACATAAGCTACATTTGTGGAAATCGTTAAGAATTACAGATTCTTGTTAAAATTTCAATAAATGATACAATTTTAATGGTAAATACATGCACTTACATTCGCAAAACATTATCGAAAAATAAATATGGTAAATCCAATGATCATTAAATGACATTTGTGGAAATTAAACAATAAATATGTATAAAAGACTAAATAAATGTTGGAAAACTATTGAATAATCAATATTATATAAAAAGATGATTACCATATTTCATTATGTAATCTTTACAAAATATGATGAATCGATATATTATTTTTTCAAATACTAATTTATTGCAATCAGATGTGTACTAAATATACACCATTTAAAGTTACTTGAAATATGAATCTGGATTACTTCAGTCCAATAATCTACAGAATATCAACAGATAAACGAAAATCAAACAACAATTATAGAAAACTCATCACGACTTAAGATATAACAATATTACATAAATAAATCACATGCTAAGAAAAAAAACATAATACGTTATTGAAAAAAAAAAACAAGAACATTTAAATTGCTACACTTGTCTCCTGTTACACAAAAGATTACTTAAAATCTTGCAACTTTATACACTTAAAATACAGTATGAGACAATCGATTGCAACAATTATTGTAAGCTTATGGCTGTGGCTTTTTCTAAAATCAATATTTCAATTATCAAAAATACTATATATTACACACAAAAAAAGGAAGCGGAGGTGGGTGGGCAAAGCGACCTTATTTCTTAATATTCCAAATTGTATGTCAAAAAGACTTAGTCAAATTCTTTTAAATTGATTTTTTTTTTCAGGAAATATCGCAAAAAATATATTAAGATAAGTTGATAAATTAATTAAATAAACCATAAAATTAAGAAAAAAAGACATTAAATTCAATGGAAATGAATAAACACTGCACGTAAAACAACAGTTATTTAAAACTAATTACGACTTTTACATTCTAGAATTCATTTGTTTCTATTATAATACGCTTTTAAGTTGATTACATGAATTTACAAAACTGTAAACACTTCAACTTCAGAGATTCTCTAAAAATCAATCACTTAGTCTTATCGATTAAACTAAATAATGCTTGATAATAAGTCAATCAAAGTGAAATCATGTAATTTGAGAATGTTTGCTTCAACTTAATCAAATGCAACGACTGCTTTCATTTTTAATTCTTAAGTTTTACCACGAGATTAGTTTGCAAAGCAAATTTAAAAGAAAACAAAGCGGATATCACGTATTTACTGGCAGTAAGTAGAGATTCCAAATTACATATTTTATTACATATTTATTTATTATTATGATTTGTTCCGCTAATTTGTTTAACGCTTAGAACTAACACTTGTCGTCACTAGTTATTGTTATTTTTTCGTTCTGACTTGATGATGAATATTAATAATGCTTGGTTTTGGACGATTTTTGAAAACTAGTTCTCTTTTTTTTTGTTTCATAATTTGGATTTAGAATACATGCAACCAATGTTAAAGTTAAGTGGCCATGTTTTTTCTTTGCACTGAATCAATTAAATCTCTCAAATTAATTTTTTTTATTTACTTATTATTTTCTACCATTTCCATTTTTTCCACCCTTCTAGCGATTCTTTGCAATACGTTGAATATATTCTTAATATGTTACATGTATTGCGGAGAACTGAACTCTAAATTGAGAATGTCAACAACAAAAAAACAACATTTTTCAGACATAAATTTCATGTATAATCGGGACACTTCGATTCGATTATAAATGAAATTAGTCTGTTCTTTTCAGCCAACTAACAAATCTAATTTTATTTCAGCCTACTATTTATATGTTTTAAACATTTTTTTGTAATTTAAGCGTCTATTTTATTACTAATGTAATCGCAAATGCAATCTACAAAAATGTGATGTTGTAATTTAAACTAATTCATTATTTATATACTACAATACTACTACTATAACTCTCTACTTCTTCAAGATGTGAATTTGTAACCATAAAATGTATCTCATTGTAACCTATAACATGTATCTCTTTCACTGCTGCACTGGATTTGTTTGGTGAGGTTTTCATTTCATTTCATTTCTAAATTTCGCGAGCTCCCTTAATTGGATGATGTGTTCGATTCTCTGCGCACATCATTCAATTATCGGTAAGCGCAAGAAGAAAAAAGGAAGTGGAGGAGGGTGGGCAAAGTGACAAGCAATTCTATATTGCATTCACTTCTTCCTTTTATTTATATGTTTATTTTGAGATCGTTTTACTGTTATTATTTGATTATTTGATCTTTATTGATAATTGTTGTAAACGTACTAAATAATCTGTACATATTTATTATAGGCAGTAACCATTTTAGGTGTAATTTGAGGAAATTCTATGCTTCTGGGATAATTTTCAACTGAAGGAAGGAAAATGAGGCAAAAGTGGAAACCAAAAAAAGAAATGAAAACAGAAAATTGTAACCTTGTTTACAATTTACAACAAATAATAATAAATTACTCTTAGTTCTTTTTAACAACATTGCAGTGTAATTATTTACCTTTCTTAATCCTAAACCCTAAGACAATATTTATAGTTTTTAATATAATAATACAAAAAGAAATATATTGATTAGAAATACAAATTGAAATTAAAATCTGAAGAAATTAGAATTATTAAAATTAAACAAATACAAGAAATCATTTATATCAAAACATCTATATATTTAATTTAAATTAAGGTGAATTTATATTAAATATTTAATTAAATATTAGATAATTTCATATACATAAGTGTATATGAAATAGTCTATATTATTTATTTTCATTTTTTTTTATAAGAATTGAAGTATGGAAATAAGAAATATGATAATTTCAAGTTAATGAACTGGTGAAGAAATTCTCCAGAGAGAAGAGTTATTAAAAATGGAAGTTAATGCTGCTAAATTTAAAAATAGATGTTATTGATGTTCGATTGTGAGGAACTCAAGTTTGATTTGAATTTTATTAAAATTAACTAAATCATTAAGGAAACGTTAATAATGATGCTTGTATCATGGACTTTAATAATTAATATATGAGTAATGTTTTGCATATGTATTTTAATGAATTCAAACATAATCTTGTTCGTTTTTTGTATTTTATCATTGTTGGAATATTTGAAATTTCATTGAATGTTAGGAAACAAATGTAAGAACTCACCTCATCGCAAGTTGTGGAGCATGCAGTCAGGATAGAAATGCTGAACAGCACCATGTAGACGCTCATGTAGCTGTTCCTCAGGAACAAAATAGCAGCACCATCATCCTGTTCTTCCTCGGTGCCAAAGAACACTCGAAAATCTCCGAAGACCGCGAAAAGTGTTCCCAAGAAGACAAGAGTAAAGTAACCAAGCAACTGAATAGTATAACAAGAATTCAAAGCCTCCGCAGCATCGCAAAGCCTGTCATGGCAAGTCGCGATTATTCGATACTTATCCCCAACTGTCACGATCGTCTTCTCGTTGTTGTAATTACGAAAAGCTCTGTTCGATAAAACTGAATTTATGCATTCGAACCTCTTTCGTAACAGTTGCAACCCCCCTATTAAAGGCCCCAACGTGGCCAGGACCACCGAAACGAACAGGAAATGCACCAAAGCCAGAACCAGCTCTTCTGTAACCAACGCTATTCCCAAAATCGCAAGGCAAAGCCCGAAACCAATAACATTCAGAGCGATCAGATACTTCTTGGATGCCTCATCGCTGAACTGGCTGATCTTTAACAGTTCCCTGTCCGCTTCGAAGATCAATTTGAAGAAGCTGATTAGTTTATTTGCTCTGAAATAACCCATAGCAATGAACATGATGCCGAGCAGAAAGTACAGATAGCGATTAACGATTTCGCGGAATATTGATACGTTCGGCGCTTTGGTGTGGTCCACCGTTTTTTCAGCGCTGAAAGAATAAATCGAGAGGCCTACGAAAACTAAAAGTAGAACGGCGTTGTGTATAACATGCAGACGTTTCCTCTGCAAAGACAAGGATATTGTACAGACTCCGACTATTTGCGAGAACATCAGCAGAAACTTAATTATTATTCTATTAGAAGCCAAGTTCTTTGCATTTCGTCGACTCAGCGCCGCCTCGCGATTAGGGAATTCTAAAAACGATTGTTGTTAAAAAAAAATGCAGATTTATCAATGTATATTTACCTGACGGTAGAATAAATTGCATTTTTGCTTCTCAAACGCGTCTGCACAATGTCCAAAACGCAACTGAAGCGATTATTGCACGAACGTATTAATAATTAAACGTATGTTTGTTTCATTATCGCTTTCCACTTTATGGACTGTTCAGTATGTACACACGCAAAATAGATCCCATTATGATTTTGAAAGTTCTCTCAAGAGAGAGACCTATATTTTACGGACACGAGTATAGTACTAATGATGTGTTATTTGTTTCGAAACGGCAATCAGATCATTATATTTTTTTATGTAAAAAAAATAGTTATTCATTATGATTTATAAATGATAATGCAGACACCTAATTTGATCATAATCACACGCAATAACTAATATATATGTATTTAATTATTTACAATAAAAACCCGTATTTATATATAATAAGTTATTTGCGAATTAACAATTATGTCTTGTGGCTTTTAATAAACATTCAATTATTGAAATGCTTAGAAACTTTGATGTTAAATTTATTTTAAAATTTATATAATACTTATTAATTATTATTATTAAACATCATTATTGATCCAATGATTTCAGCCCTATTACTCATTTATTATTACTATTCACTGAATACGTAACTATTTTGACAAGTTTCAATATCTTCAGAATATGCGTACAGGAACTTGTAGAAGTACTAGTACTTGGTAACAGTTAAATAACTTTTTTTCTTTCCTCTTGCTTCTTCACTCTTGAAAGAGCCTCTACCATTTAGCTACATTCTGTCGACGCATTACGCCAGTCGCGATCTGAATAATGTTGAATAACGTGCCAAGTACTTCTAATTTAAATGTGCATGAATTTTAAAACTTATATTTTTCTGTGGCGCCATCTGGTTGCGAACAGATGAAGGTGTAGTTTGACTATGTACCGTTCCATAGTTACGGGCGCTGACAGCGTAAACAAAAAAGCGAAGCTTAGGTCGGCGTGGGTTTACCGCAACGACGCCATTATTGTGCCGCTTCTGAAACGAACAACAAGTTGCAAGTTGGTTGCGATCCTACAGGTGAGACTAATCTGTAATATTATCAAGCGTAAGTAAAACTGCACAAGTATCTATTCAAAATTATAAAGGCACGGCCGTTTGCGAGCTTAATGCCAGTTGCTTGGAATCGATTTAATATTCATAGCCTAGTGAGGGCAAATGAAGTTGTTGGGCACCGAAATCATAGTTTTTATTCTGTAATATAAATGTATATGCATCTACGATTCTTCATATCATCGAGATCTTCAAGATTCGTCGAACTTCGAGACGCCGCATCGAAAAAACAATTGGTTTTCTGCAGAAATAGAAGTCCAAATTTACCGACCCTGGGCTTCTATCTCTGGTGAATTCCTTAATGTTTTGTGGTGTTCTCATCAGAAATTTTGAGGACATCCAAAACCCACACCTGTTCTGCAGGATTAAAAGCTTATTCGTGAATAACGGCAAAGGTTTTTAGTTCTGGTGAATCTGGAAATTTTTATTTCCACCATTTTGGCTGCAGTGCCTGAAACATGGTAATGCAGTCTAAGCCTATGATCTAGTAAATTCCATAATGTTTTGATGTTCTCACCAGAAATTGTGAGGACAGCAAACATTCAAAATCTGTTCTGCAGGATTAAAAGCTTATTCGTGAATAACGTAAAAGGTTTTTAGTCCTGGTGAATTTGGAAATTTTATTTCCATCGTTTTTGCTGCAGTGCAATGCAGCTGAAACACACATCTTGTTCTGCAGGAGTAAAAGTCCATACGTGAAAAACGATCAAAGTGGGCTTTTACCCCTGATGAATCTATCTTGCTGGTTTTATTACGAGTATTAGAATCAGCCCATCTAAACATTCTGCAGCAATAAAATTGCTTCGACCTATGTTGCAGTAATTTTATTGGTGATGAATTAAAACAAACACAGCTTAGTGATCATCTCAGGTGTTTTCCATCAAAAGTGGTTAGCTCTGGATTGGTACACTCAATTCTGCACAATTAAAAGTCTGTATTAATCCTAAAATGGATTTTTAGTTGTGATGAATATCTTATTTTTGGCCGTTGAATCGGACCGCACACCCGGGAATCAAAAAGAAACATCCACCAATAAATCTGCAGGAAGAAAAGTCTTGATTCTCGAAAGAGATCTGGAATTTTATTTCTGGTGATTGCTATTGGAAAAATACCTGACCTAACAGCATACCCCAACTCTTTCCAATCTATTGAAAATTAGTTTTAAGTTTAGTTTGTAAGGTTTCGCTAACTTGCCTATCAACTTTATTTTACTTCATGCTTTTGTGGATGTTGAATAATTCTATGCATTTTTTACAGAAGGTATAAATTGGTAAGCGTCTGTGTCTTTTATTATAAGCTTGATAATGTTTGGATTTGGTTTCTTGTTCAGTTACAGAAGTGCACAATAATCACATTTTATTTAAATTCATTTTTATTTTAAAATCTTGTGCAGTTAAAAAAGGAAGTGGAGGTGGGTGGGTTAAAGCTTCACACATTTGTGTTGAAACTTTCTTCCTTAGTCAATTTCATTACAATATTCTATTTTCAAATAATTAAACTATTTTTTTAAACTATATAACTCGTTTGTATTTAATCATTATAATCCAGATATACTATTAAAATATACTACAAATAATTAATAAATATTTTGAATAAACTACTTTTTTTAACATATATAACTCGTTTGTGTTTAATCCTTCCTATAGTATTACAAAGTTTTGCAATAGCATTCATATCTACAATTTTATTTTCTTAGTATTAAGCATATTCTTAAATTGCATTGGCTAGACTTTTTCTTAAAAATAAACTAAAGGTAAGTAAAGTTTGTTGGTTCTTCTTAAAAAAAAGCATGGTCTATTGAATAATAGTATTTTCTGGTTGTCTGTTGGCTATATCCAATTGCAAGAGGATGAAGAGATATGCTGTTGCAGATGCTACAGCCTAGAATAATCATTTCAATAGAAAATAATGAAGACCATTAATAATTCATACCGAATAAAATAATGTTAAATCCAGATTGAAGAAACCGAAAGCGCAAATTTTGAAGTCCCAATGGATAATCTGCTTGCTGAAGATAGTGATCTGCAGGAAAATAAGTTCTTTTTAGTTTACAGGATGTAAACTTCATTGACTAACATACTTGTGCTGAAATGTTCTGGTTACGTGAACGATCAATTTTGTAAATGAAATTCTTCGCACTATTCGCCTGAAATTTATGGTAAATGTAGTTGCAGTTGTGTTAATAGTAAACTTATTTACTTCATTTGTTAAAGATGTGCAGACAAAGGTCACCGCAAAGAGTTGCAATAGCTTGAAGAGAGTCCACGCTGCGGTGGTTGCAGTATTGTAAACATTCTTGTCCGGTTCCTCTAGAGAAATTCTTACGAAACCATCGAAACAGTAATATGCGTGCGTTGTGAAGCTGACAAAGGTGTTTCCGATGATGATGAGGATCTGCAGTGCGAACGTTTCGTTGATCATGCGACTAGAGATGCAGAGATCTTCGTGCATTCTTCTCAGAGTGATTAATCTGTTAACACCTTTCCCACCAATCAAAACCACGTTGCTCAGGCACTCAAGTTCGTGGTTAATAATCGAGAACCTCTGACGCAGCAGCAGCAGATAGATTATGAATTGGCATTCGACGAAACCGTTTACCAGTAATGGTAGATAGCACATCAGCAAGCACATATCGGAAAGCGTGAAGATCTGCCGCAGGAACATGCTGCAGTTCATGTACTCCAGCCCAATGAAGAGCAATTGAATGCAATACACGTAAACTACAACAAGAGGTATTATACAAATATAATTTCACTCTTTAATTACTTACCAGCAATGTAATTTCGGCTAGTCTTGTATTCGATACTAATGCGATTGTGTGCGAATTCGGCATCGATATCATCTATTTTCGAAACTGCTTCGATCAAAGTATTCTGTCTTAAACCATTCAAAACAACAGCCAGTATCATCACGATTACCGCTCCATAAAGCTGGTAAGCGTCGATGGCATTGGTGATCTTATTGGTCTCTTGGTAACTTATTCTATTACGTTCTTCGACAGCGAACACGTAATAAGCTGTTAAAATACAAAAACATTAATTCTTGTTTAATTGTTCTAGCAAAAATCATACCTGTGAAGAGCATAATGGAAACTAAACTGTAGCAACTACCAAGGATGGAAACTGAATATTTCCTTTTCTTCAGGTGATCCATGATCATGCTGTGTGGACTGATTGCAAACGGTTTCGTCGCCAAATGCAGAGGGAAGAGAACGTCGTAAATGTCGTCGCATCTCGTAACGCGTTTCCAAAGCTCCTTCAAAACCAACATGATACTCGATAACATCGCGCTCTTGATGACTTATACACAGATCACTCAGCCTAATGATTATTACGAGACGCTGTGGTCATTACGTGGATTTAACTGTTTCCAATCAGAACTTGCACTAAGTGATATCAATCTATCCCCAAGCGGTTAATTTTCTTTATTTGCTTCAAATCGTTTTTCATTTTACTTTAAAGACTACGAACTGCTCGCTATTTATTATTCAGCGCACTAATACAAATTGCAAAGTGTAATTAAGTTTTTATTTTTTCTAATCAAATTTAATGCTGTATGTTTACAGTCATGTCATATTGTATTAGGAAGGTCAACAAGGAAATGACCGAAGTAATAATCTGCAATGAGGATAATAAGATGTATTTATTTAAAGTGAGTGCGTTTCTTACTTCGAATATTAAGTTGTGATCTAAGGGAAAGAAACCCAAAGCGGTGAACTTCATCTTTTGATGGAGGAATTGAATGGACAGCGCGTGTACCTGAAAATTCTCAAATTTGATTAACAAGAAATAACTATATGAATACGAGTACTTCTCGCGCTAGATCATCATCATGAGGTGTGCGGTTTCTCATCTCGTGTAGCAGTACCGGTGTATAATTGGCCTGAAATGATGTTATTGCATTAACATATTCAATTCGAATTTATCGCAACTAACCACGTTAGCAGTTCTACTGCAGAACTTCACGAGCAACCCAATTTCCAGCATCTCGTCCAGAATCCAAAACAATGGAGCTCCAATCATGTAAAAGTGTTCCTTGCAGTTACTTGTCGTGCACATTCTGTAAAGAAAGTAGTTCTGGAAGATAACATTTGCTGCTGAAACGCCGACGGCCATCACCATTTGCAGACCGAAGATGTGTATCAAAATGCTGCAGCAGTTGCACAGCTTGAAGTGCAACAAGCTGAGAGCCTTCATGTCTCCACCAGCAGCTATACTCTCATTCAACCTGCTCAGCCTCACGTATAGAGCTTCAACGAAAATAATGAACAGATACTTCAGTTGACTCTTCATGAAGCTCGCAGCGAACACGGCATACTGCTGAATGAAATCCACGCTGACGTTCTGCAGCGTGAATGCCGATCTAATGAGCACGGAGCACGTAAGCCAACCAACAGCGACGCGATTTTTCATCAGAGCAGTCTTGTAATCCATTTTAATATTATACATTCCAAAATGCATGTCAATTTCGGCGAAGCGCTCAATCATATTGAGTAAAGGCTTTCTCATCACATACGCCATAATCACGGTGATGATTTGCGAAGTTAAGATCATGACGCTGATCACAAATAAGAAACCTTTGGGTATTTCTTTATAGTTATGCTCATCGGATATGAGTGCGAAAATCGTGTACGAAGATAGGAATAAGTAGGTGAGCAGGAAGAAGCCGAAGTAAAGGAAGTCGTGACTGGAGGTAATCCTAATTTGATTCTTCGTTCGTACAACTCTCACAGGCAACAAGCCGAGAGCGCGAGAGATGTAATAAGTTGGTCCTACGGAGTAATACAGGAGATTCAAGTATTTATCGCGTGAAGTCATCGCTGTTTTTGGTATTCGATCGGAAAAATCAAGCTTTAAATATCGCTTCTGACGTGTTGATTAATGCGAAGAGCGCAATTAAAACTTAATTATAAAATGTGTAGTAGAGTATGATAGCGTTTCAATACGAATCGATTGACTTTATCTAAATTGTTTTTGATTAGGATAAAAGCTTCGGCATGGTGGTTTGATTGATTAGGTTGCATTCGATAAAATGTTACCGACGAAGGATCAACTCGAGGCTAAATTGTATGGATCTTTGAAACCGATCACCGAGATGAGCGCTGTGATCGGATTGTTACCCAAAAAGACGTTGCAACTGAAGAAGCCCAAATATTGGAAATTGTATGATTACGTTTACGTAATCGGTTATACAGGACTGTACCTCTTCTTTACCGTGTACACCTTATATTACCTGTACATAAACGAGATGACCCAGGATATTATACCTAAAGAGATTCTGGTGTACGCGTCTTCAATCGCTCTAATGCAAACCATGATCTTCCCCTGCGTGGGTTTCAGATTTCGACACATGATTACAAGAACAATACGACAAATGGTCGACATAGATTACGCTCTCAGGATGATGGAAATAAGCATTGATTATGGAAAGAATTATCGTGACAACATCATCATCTTGTGCTCTATTGCCATCTCCATCATACTGAGGGCGATTTTCAGCGCTAACACCATCAAGTTGGACGTGATCCAGCAGGTCACTCTGGTCGTTGCCGTATATATGATGAGTTTGGTCAAGTTCCAATACGTGGCGCCTGTGAATTGCGTGTTGGACAGATTCCGAGCAATCAATCGAAAATTGAAGACTAGATGCACCGGTTATGAAATGAACAAGCTGTGTAAGCTACATTTTCGCTTATGCCATTGTCTTCGACTTCTGAATACCGCTTTCGGCTGTCAGATCTTCATCTCTGTTTCGTGCTCCTTCATACGATTTCTTTTCCAACTGTATTTCTTGTACAATTTATTAACGAAGCGACAAGATACAACTAGCGCCTTCAAATTTGGTACACCCATATTCTATATAATCACAGAAATCGTCGAGATCTACATGCTAGTCAATGTTTGCGCCAAGACCAAACGAACTGTAATTATTTTACACTTTGAAATTATTTCTTTTCTTAAAACTTTAGCTTTTTAGGCAGAGAAAACTCCTATCATCATACACGCTCTTCGGGCAAAATTTGAATTCACGCAGGACGAAGATGCAAATGTAAGTTTACAAAATTATTCAGAATTAATTTTACAATCATTTGTTTAAGATATACACTCATTCTTTAGAAATGCTGCATCAACTCGTCGAATTCGCTCCACTTGGTATCTTTCATTTAGATTATTATTTGATATACCAGGTAATATATATATTATTTTTTATATAATATTAATTTTGAATGACCTCTTTGCAGATGGTGATGGCTGCGTCGGCTTACGCTATAGTTTATATACAATATGATATTTCAAGATAATAAGTATTAGTTGAGTAGTTAAGAAAAATAGATTTTATAATGTAAACTAAATAAAAATATAGACTTGAGGTGAATTAAAGTATTAATTCTTATTGTATTGTTAATTCCACAAAAATAAATCAGTAAAAACATGTAATTGTCCCGAAAAGACAAATCTAATATTAATAGATGGAACGGTAATAATTGAATATTTGATGTTGAAGTAAACGCTTCTAATAAAACGCGTAGATGACGATTTAGATATTATAATCGATCCGAGTGAATATTATACTCAATTTTGTAAATAAATTTGTGAGAGTAACAACGATGGAATTTAAATCAACAAAAAATAAGTATAAGGTAAACGGTGACGGTAAAGGGACTATTAACAAATGATTGTTTTTGTAGGCGTTTGGTGAAGGAAAACGTGTTTCGCCAATATAAATCTGTCTACTTTTTGTCGAAGTGTCTCTTGCTAGGTCCACCTTCGCTGAAGAAACAGGAAGCACCATCAGGTTTCCATAGAATCGGATTGTTGATCTTGACTGCTGCGTACATATACACCTCGTATCTGGCATTCGTCGATGTCGAAACGTTGCATCCGATAGGTGGAAGTTTGATCTCCTTAAACATGGACAGAGCTGTGCTCTTCTTCAACACTATCCTGGTCCTGGTGACCTTAAACTCGACGAGGAAATATCGAGCATCAGTGTTCGACTACTTGCAGAGCCTGCACAATTTCGATTTATCCTGCTTGAAGTATTTCGGAAGAATGGCTAACAGCAATGGAAAATCCTTGAAAAATATCCGAGTGTTTTTCATGCACCTTCTGCTAAGCATTACCTTCCTGCTATCAGAAATTGGATACAGCATCAAAGAGTTTGGATACGTACAGGGCTACAACATATGTTTCCTAATTGGTTTCGTACTGCGAAAGTGCGTGGTGTTGCAGTACGTGACGATCGTTAACTTTTGCTATTGGCGCTTCAAGTTCCTCAACCTCATTGTAGTCAATTTCTATAATAAACAGAACGAAAAAACGATGTTCCTTTTGGTCGAGGATTATAAGACAACTTGGTACAAAAGCCAGCACGTGAGAAATACTTTGACGATGGTAAGGCTGTTGCACGAGGATCTGTGTGCTGTCTGCAGAGACCTGATCGATAAGTACGGACTGTTCCAATGCATGGCCATCATCACCGGTTTGGTGGAGCAATTGGCGTTGGCTTATGGAATATTTGTTACATTGACCAACGACGAAGGTTACAGCAGTTCTTACATCGCCCTATCAATCATTAGATCTCTCTGCTACGTCTACGTAGTAGCAATATCTCAATTTTACTTTGTTTTCTACTTCTGCGACATTGTTAAGCGCGAGGTAATTGTTTTACTTAGTTTAAATATTCGCTGTTGTATGATTTCTTATGGTTTTAGAGCATGCGAGCTGGCTATTTGGTGCAGCGTTTTTACCTACAAACTAATAATCGTAACGAGCTTATGGAACCGGTGAAGCTATTTGCCCTTCAAATCAAACAGACGGAACTCTTTTTCTCCGCAGCCGGCATTTTTATACTCGATTGGGAGCTGATGTCTGCAGTGAGTACATATCTATTATGAAAGTTATTTCTATTGGCTAGTTACAATAAATATTTCAGATCGCCAATGAGGTTACTTCCTATTTGGTCTTCTTCATACAGTCATCCGGATTTTCCTTTGCAGTTGATAAAAATTTTGATCCTAGGATGAAACCCGCCATTAGTCAACCATTAATCAATACTATATAGATCAGATAATAGAATATTCATAAATCTCCGAAAATAATAATCATAACATATTCGGATATACGCAAGTCTTTGAATAATAAATGATTAATTTTAAAATTTGCTGGTATTTCTTCAACTAATAAACATTTATAATGGTGGATTATTGTCGATTATTTTAGGAATGAAGAATAAACTAAAGTTCCATTTCCAAGTAATTGTATATAAAATAATAAAAGTGTATAAAATTAAAAATATTTATATATATAAAAACAATGTCTGTCAACCAATATACAATTGTTTATTTATTCTTAACACTTAAAAGATAATTAAGTGGAACAATGCCTGTGTGAACCAATTAATAAACCATTATTACCTCAGTAGACAAAATGAACATGTACGTAAAAGCACACAAAATCACCAGGTACAACATATTATTTTTGAGATGCGTCTTCATTGAGATTTGGACTAGAATTTATGATACTGCTGCTTTCGTGCTCGGCTGAAACGGATGACTCTTCTTGTACAGGTTTCACGTTATCATCAATTTCAACGTTTGCAACAGGTTCTTCAGATTTCGGTGGTGCGGGTTTATTAATCTCGTCGAAGATTCTACGGCTGTCCTCAAATATTTGATTTTCACCAAAACTGACTCGCTTCTGGGGTTTCCTAACCATTGGTGCATAAGTCCCGTCCGCTGATTTCTTCTTGATTACAATGTAATTCAAGGGGATAACGCCGCTGCGGCCGTTGCAAGTAGCATAAGCCCATCCAGAATTGTTCAATTTCATCTCCGTCTGGACGCTCTGTGGTGCAAGAACGATTTCATCGTTCACATTCAATGAAAGTTCGTTGCCTGAACTCGCTGCAAAATCGAATGCAGCCTTTGCCTGTACCCCTGTTGTTTTCCACATCTCAGGATTAAGTTTATCTGCAAATTATGAAGAAATTAGTTTGATTGCATGTGGAAAACTCTTGCTATTCTGAATTTTACATCAAAATAAGAAAATTGAAACAGTCATGCTTAAATTAAGTCAGAATGTGTATATGAGATACTTTGAAAATACAGAAATGAAAAAAACGTTTTCTCTAAATAAATACTTAAGGGTTTAAGTAATTTTACCGAAATCTCTTCAAATTTTATTTATTTATATTATATCATATAAATTAAACCATAACATTAAAATCTAAGATATAACAATGTGTAAATAAAAGAAATAAAAAATAATCTTAAAAATATATTTATTACATCAAATAAGTTTAACATAACTTATTTTCCTTTCTTGGTGAACTTCTTCTTCTTGGTCAGATTTCTGTCGCGTACCTTCTTCATCGGTTTCTTATTATGCTCTGGCTTCTTCGCGTGTTTCTTCTTTTCACCGTCTCCGTTCTTTTTCTTCGCCTTCATGGCCTCCTCTTTCTCGTGTTCCTTCTTCTCCTTAGCTTCGACGTGCTTCAAAGTGTGCTTCATGCGCTCCTTGCCCATTTTTCGGTCGATTCTTAACCGATCGTCGTAAGGCATGGTCAGGATATCGTCCCTGTTCGGTGCCCTGCGCATCAGCATCTTCTTCTCGTTCTTCTTATGTTTCTTTAGTTTATTCATGTAGTCGGGAATCTCGCATCCAGATTGTTTTATAACATGAGCTATGCTCTTTAGATTAACAGTATCATCTAATGTGAAATATGTGACAGCCTCGCCTTTGCGTCCAGCCCTTCCGGCTCTGCCCACACGATGCACATAAGAGATGGAGGATGGTGGAAAGTCATAATTAATCACTAAATTCACACCTTTGAAATCGATACCCCTGGCCATCAATTCAGTACATATCAACACCCAAATTTTGCCCTCCCTGAAGCTCCTCACGGTATTTTGTCGTTGAGTTTCCGTCCGATCCGCATGGATAGCATCAACATTGATTCCATCATAAACCAACTCAGAGAAAAGTTGCTTTGCTCTTTCTTTGCTCTGCACAAACACAAGTACGGGCGGTGTAAAACCTTTATGTATCATGTTCCTAAATTCAATCATTTTACCAGCTTCACTGCCAACAAAAAGCAACTTTTGATCAACCAAATCTGTGGCAGAATTTTTGGCTCCCACCAACATCCTGATCACTCCATCCATATTCTTTAGTGACCATTTGGCCACAGCTGGAGTATAAGTTGCACTAAACATGGCTATTTTCCTATTTGAATTTGTGCAAGCCATTAAAATTTCATCTAGTTGATCCTTGAAACTTCTGCCAACTTCTTCAAAGAATTTATCAGCTTCATCAACAACCACCCACTCTACAAAACTCAAACTTATTGCTGGTGGGTCACTCTTGAGCAAGTAGCATAAACGATTTGGTGTAGTAACTAAAATATCACACTTTTTAAACTTATCCTCAGTGGCCTTTGTTATTAACTGCACTCTGAGAGATCGCCCTTCAGATAGCCTCATGCATTCATTGACTGTCTGCTTGGCTAATTCTCTGGTTGGGGATAAAATCAGGGCACGCACACCAACCTTTTCAGGACCTTTCAAAGTTTCAATTATGGGCACAAGAAAGGCTGCAGTTTTTCCTGAACCAGTAGGAGCACAACCTAAGATCTGCCTATTCTTTAACATAATAGGAATTGCTTGCTTTTGGACTGGTGTTGGCTCTTTATAACCACATTTTTCAAAATTCTTCTTCAAATCTTGATTGATATCCAAGTCCTCAAAACTTTTCGCTGCTGCTGGAATATCTTTACCATGCACTGATATTTGAAGTTCATTCCTAAATTGATTCTCGCTCTCTTGTACAAGCAATTTACTTTTACGTTCAGCCTCTAATACAGATGTAGCTTTTCTTTTTTTGCCTTTGGTCTGTGTTGTAGTCATATTACCAAGTAAAGTTAGTGTGGTGTCTTCATTCTCAGAATCTTCTTTAAGAATTTCTTTATATTCTTGTTTAATTGGTATTGTCACCTCCTTGTCAACTTTGAGCGGTTGTAAAGATACCTTTGGTAGTTTCCTCTTGGTAAATTTTGCACCCCTGCTAAACTTTTTAAATATGTCTTCAGCATCCATGGCTAATTTAAACACTATTGCATGTAGTCAATACTCAAACACCAATAATACAACTGGTACAAGTTTTGGAGGTTAGAAACATGCTTTCTTTGTCAGAATCAGTGTTACCAATGGCAAAATTTAAAAAATATAAAATACCAACATAAAAATATACTTAGTGATAACGATTTTTAATTTATGAAATGGACTTTTACCCGGAAAATTAATTAAATTAATTTGTTCAATTCATGTCGAAATACCGAGATGAAGCATTTAAGAATTACTTAATTTCTAAATGTGCTTACCTTCATATTTTGGGAGAAACTTGCTGATAAGATATGGAGCAGAGAGGAGAACTCCAAGAAATGCAATTGTTGGCCAACTTGAGCCAGTAGATTCACCAGCCTCTGCAGCTGCTCCATTCATGGCTTCCTTCCAGGCATTGGATTTGCTCTCCTGCAGGACTTTATAACCAGCCATGCCAAGGAATTTCACATAAAACCATTTTATCAGTCTGAAGATGTTCAATGCATGAAAAACGTGCCCAAACATTGAACGTAATCGTCCAAAATTGTCTGCCACTCCAAGCACAGCTCTGAATGAACTAGTCATTGCAAAAAATGTATTGTCCAGCATCATTGCCATACTATTAAATGCTCTCACAATATTTTCCACATTACTAAATGCATTTCGAGAACTCTCCTCAGCATATTGGATAAATCTAAAATACAATTAATTAATATGTCTGTTGCAATGCAAGAAAATAAAGGATTTAAATATTGCAATAATTTACCTCCTTTCTGCATCATCTCCCATTCCATTGTGTCCCATGGTTCCATATCCAGAATTCATACCATACATTCCATATCCACTATTGTATGATCCGTAACCACCATATCCTCCACCATAGCTGCTATATCCACCACCATATCCAGTACCATATCCACTGCCATATCCACCTCCATATAGAGAACTCCTATAGGGCATACCTCCATAACCTAATGATACATGAAATTAATCCATTGTTCAATAATTCATCATAATGGAGTATTGTATTAATAGAATAAAGAGAGTGCAAAGTTCAATTCAATAACTTACTAGAGTAAGGGGAATATGAATTCATGCCACCATATGAAAGGCTTTGTGGCCTCGGTGGTAACATAGGTGTACTCCGAGTTGAATATGTTGAACCCTGTGGAATTTGTCTGTTGTTCTGCAGGGAGTTCATCTCCCATGGTTTACTTGGAGTGGACATGTTCATTAACTATCCTGTAAATCCTTCACTTAAACATCACAATTAAAAAGAAACAACTTATAATAGTTGTTTGAAGTGCTTAGCCACTGATTTTAATTGCCTTTGTAAATACTATTTACATATCAAATAAATGTCAAAGTTCTCGACAATTTTATTCTTGACACAATGAAAATGAGAAATCCGACAGAAAGAGAAATTGGAATTACCAACTATATTTGATGCATAGATAAAACACTTTAAAATTTGTTGCTGATTGGTTATTTTTTCGATTAAATCGGAAACTACGTAATATTTCATGAACAATTGCGTAGCTAGCTAGCAATCAGAGCAGAAAGATATTGATAATTGATTATTTCATGTACAATTGGTTGCCTGTTTTTAATCATTTATCACCATTCTTCCTAGAATTTTTAAATGGTTTAAATTGGAATTAAGAAATATTACTCTACTAGTAAATTATGTTTTCGTATATCGCAAAATATTTGGTTATAAGCACACATTTATTAAAATTAGATAATGTTGATAAAGTCAATAATAATACATGGATAACTTACAATTCTTTAAAATGATTTAATTTAAAGTTGATTGTCTTGTGATGATGGATAATTCGTTTTTATTTATGTGTATTGGAAAATTATTTTTTTTTCCTTTTACCAGCTTGTTTCCTCTAAGAAAAGTCTCTACTAGGAAAATTATATTAAAAAATGTAATTTAGTAAACGAAGCACTGAACTACATTAACATTAGTAATACACTTTTGTGTCTTGTTTAATAATGGAAACGAAGGAAGCCATTTTCAAGCAGATGGTCGGTTAAATCTTTGAATCTTAAGTTGATTAGATCTTGGTTCTTGTATTTTCGTTGATAGCTCTTCGATATGGACATTTCCTCGTCATCGATTTCAATTAAAGAGCTCTTAATAACCATTACTGACATCAGATATCAGAATTTACAGAAGGTCTTCCAGTCGGACTTGAGATCATCTAATGACATTACATCCGCAACGTCGATGCTGAAGTTCTTAAGCTGTTTGGTGAGAACTGAGTAATAGAACTGAGTTTTAGATAGCCCTCGAGTTTGTTCAATAGGTGTTTTGGGGGAACTGCATAGAAGAAATAAGAGAGATCCAGAACAGGAGAACCTTTTCTGACCAGCTTTAAGTCTAGTAAGCAGATATCTGTGGGTTTGTTTGGATACATTCAAATATATTGTTTATCTTTATATTGTATTTATTACTTACGCTGCATTACCTATTACCCTTATTATTTATAATATGTTGCATTTCAAGTGGAATATATCACGTTTAATCTCGACATCTTGGCAGAGTTCGTGAAGTTGGTCTAAGCTTGACAGTAAAAAAGTCGAAGCTGAAGATGAAGACTTTTCTAAGCGGTAGTGCTGAAGAGCGAATGAGATTGAGTGAACTTTGTCGTATTCCTTGAAAATTATCATCGTCTAACTGCATTTTGCGTTCCCAAAGTTGGAAACTGCGTTCACGTATGATTTCTATCACGAGAAGCTCCTTCTGCACTAATTCATAGTATTTAGTAATAGAGCTAAAGCTATCCACGATGTTCATCTCCTTCTGGAACTCTACCATGGCAGGGAAAATCTCTGTGTAGTACGAGGGACTCTGTGTTCACGCAGGGAAGTAGTGCGTATGAAAGACCTAAAGAGCTCCGTCTTTGGTGCGCATTTAATGATCAAATGTAGCTTTTTCCTCTTTTTACTCTCCACGTCCACTCGCGTCATGAAACTCATATAACCATCGCCTTTGGAAGAACCTGCGTTGATTGTGTAGACTGGCGCTGACATGCATTCATTCTTCATAACATCTTCCAGAAGTCTCTTCCTCCTCGTATTTTGCAAGCACATAGTTGCGCGCTACTCTTGGTAACTAGCAAATCTTTGTTAAAATAGTTTGTGACTAAATTCAATCCCTCCCCACATATCACAGCGACGATATTATATGGATGATTTGGATACACGAACAATGTTTATCCTTACGCAATGTATAGTAATCGATAGCAAACATACTTGTAAACGTGTATAAACAAGTCTTCTATATTTTGATAAATTATAGAAATAATTTTAATCTGTACAGAAGGACCTATGCTCAGTAGCCCTTTTTTTTTGATAATAATATTATTATTAATTTAAATAATTATATAATGATTTGTTCAATTAATGAAAAACCTTGACCAATAAAGTCTATTTCGCATGCAACAAGTGTTACTTTAATTAAAATTATGCACGTTTCCTAAGGACTTTTTTAATAATTCTTAATTTTCAAATTTCAATTTTTGAAAATTTTAATGGAATTTCATCATAATTATTTTACATTCTTTGGATTGGATTTCTATGAATTTACACGTAATTTCTAATTAATTTGATAATTATTTTTTTTAAGATAATTAAGCAAAGTGTATCAATTTTTTTAAAATAAATATCGATTAAAATCAATAAATTCTTTATTTTTATATTCCAAGTTAATAAAACATAAATATCGAATATCTATAATACTACAATAACATAATTAATGTTAAGATTATAAAATACATTTTTTTTTTAAATTATGAATTAAATTCATAATAAAAACAAAATATGTATAACTATGGAATTGTTAATATTGCCGAGTTAGTCTACTTTGGTTTTGATCACATAAGATTAATTAATCCACTATAGTGCGTATATTTATAAATATAGTATTGATTGAATGTGTTTAAATGAATTTCCTTTGATACATGTGCTCGGTTAAGGTCTTCAGTCTGCGGTTGACGATATTCTCGTTCTTCAACGGTCTATTGAAGGCGTCCACAACTGAAATGCCTGATTTGGATATTTCCTCGAGATTCACGATCTCATCTGACTCGCTGAGCATTGCTCTCACGATGATCATGGCCATGCCGAATCCGAAACTCGAGTACTTCTTCCAGTCGGCTTTCAGATCCTCAAATGACATCAATTTGGAGGCATCCGCTCCAAGAGCAACGGAGCACTTAATGAGATCATCGTGGTAAATCTTCAGGTAGTTGTCCAAATTGTCGAGGGCTTCTTTGGAAGCACTCACGTAGAAGAAGTAGGAGAGATCGAGGACCGGGGATCCGATGCCGGACATTTGGAAATCGAGAAGGCATATGTTGGTCGGACGATTCAAATCGCGCGCATCCTGAAATACATAGATTAAAATATTATTATTTGACTGGCCCGAAATAGGATGCAATCGATTACCTCGTATTTGAACATCATATTATTGCACCAGCAATCTCCATGCGTGATTAAACTGAAATTGCCCTTATCCTTTTCATTCATCACGAACACGTCCATTATGCTGAATTTGTCCATGATATCGTAAATCTCTTTCTCTGCCTTTGGATCGAATAAATCCTTGACCTTATCCACAGATGTAACGAATCCCTCAAGCGTTTCTTTGTTCTCGTCGACAGCAAATACGTCTTTCCACAACTCTTTCAGCTTTTGGTAGATTTCAGGTTGCTGCTGTTGCATGCTGTATGAAACTGCGTGGTACCTGGCGTACGTCTTGAAGATCAACGTTAAATGATTGTCGTCCATTTGAACCTTCCTGTTCCACATCCTGTAGCCTTTCTCGCGAATGTTCTCCATAATCAGAAACTCGTGCAGATTCTCGTTTCCAGTTTTGTAGCATTTCGCGACGTTGTTGAACGGCTTCTCTATGTTCTTCGTCAACTGGAAGTTGCGGAATGCCGGATACACCTGCGTGTAGAAATCTATTTCCCTTTGGAAGAGCTTATCGAGAGGCGTAGTTTTCCTGAAATCTTCGCCTTTCGGTGCGCACTTGATCATCATGTGAAGATCCTTGTTCCTTCCCTTGATATCGACCTGAGTGAGGAAGCTCAGGTAACCATCGCCTTGATTCGACCCAGAGCATATCTTCAATTTAGGATCGATGATCTGCTCCTTCTCGAGCACGGATTCCATGAGCTCCTTCACTTCCTTTTCACTAAGCACGTTCCCTATGCTTCCCATGACGCTGATTGCTCGTTAACTGTCCGCACGATACAAAAATCTTGCTTCAAACATCATTCAAACTATAACACAAAAGTGACGTAGCATTATCACCTCCCACCAACAGTTCGCCTCTTCAATGGTCCTTGAAACGTGGAGGGGTCCACACAGACGCTAATTTATTTTCGAGCCCAACATGCACGCATTTGAATTACAAAAAAATTGTAAAAGAAAAAACCTAATTAAAGGTTGACAAATAGATAATTATTAAACAAAAACCTTGCCATCTCACTCCCGACTCGAAATTACATAATCTTTGTCGGATTATTGTCTGCACGCGAACATCAGTATATCTGTTTATTGTTTAGAGCAAATGATTGTAAAGGCCAACTCTGATTAAAGTTTACATATGATTAGATCTGACCGAAGCAAAAGAAAAACTACGTTCGACACACATTATCCGCTTATCGACAAAACTGATTGCAATTTATGGATTGGATTACATTGCGTTGAAACAAACATAATAAAGATTATGATTATTCCTTTTTTACGCAGAGGAATTTTCGTTTGTTTTTGATATTAAACTCAATTGATCTCAATTGCTTGATGACCATATGAAAAACATTAATTACCGACACAAATGCTGATAACGCACACTTAGATGAACACAGGCTATTTTTTATATAGTCTCATTTTGTAAATATTTGTTATAACTTACATACTTTACAACCTGAATTAGTTTATTTTGTACTATTAATCTTGAACAAAGATGCTAACTTGGTATCAACCGCAATGCAATTAACATTCTTGTAAAATTTATCCACGTGATTTGTACACAACCTTGATAAATTCCCATTAACCATAATACAATTCCTTCTATTATTTAACTTGAATAATTGATGAAAGAGTACGAATGAAAAGTATTACTGTACATTGATAAATATTTAAAGTTATGATTGCATCTGAGAACACACGTGTAACGTTATGAAAACATAATTTTAATATTAGTCAATTAAAAGTGTTACTACATTTAATTGGAGTTATTAAATGTAGTAAATGGAACGTATGTACGTGTACGAACGTTTTTATTTTAAGAGAATTTGTGAGAGACTTACCTGACTATTAAAAACTATTTGACATCAGCTTTAATATAGATTAATCATATTTTCGAAAATGATAATATTGTTAAAATTTCAACAGTTCAAAGTGTATTTTTTACTTAATTGTTTGCAAAATTCAAGTAAATTATGTTTATAAAATGAAATGGCCTCATAACTTAGACAACATACAAATATTTGTAAAAAAAAAATAAGTGAAATTTTCCATAACATGACGATGTTAATTATTTGTCATTAAATCGTTTATGTTTTCAATTACATTTTTACTGTAAACTTGTTTAATTAATATGAGAATTATGGGAATTCGTTGTATAAATTGCATGTACGTTATATATAATTAATATTATGTGTAACGGTAGTTTATAAAGAAATAAACATTTCCATTATTAATTTAACCACAAAGACTTAAAAAAGAATCGTAGAACGAAATAAAACAATGATGAAGAATGGAACTAATAAGTTGTTTCTTATTGTTGAAATATTGTGAAAGTAAAATATGATTTATTCTCCACGTATAACGAATACAAAAAAAAACACACAGCGACCTTCAATAACTGCATCTTAATCATACGTTGATGATCAAAGAAGTTTGAAAAAAAGTTTTTTTTTTGTGTTCACTACATGCTTGTCTTTTATTATGATTCTAATGTGGGTATGTACATAAATACATTTATTTTTCACGAAAAAAAAAAGGTTAAAAGTACAAAGTACTATTGTTTTCATTTTTTTTTTTCAAAATACATTAATTGTCTTTTTGTCAATCATATGAAGAAATCAATGGATTATTTGATAGCACGCACTAATGTAATACTTTTATGGGTATCAATTATTTAAATAATAATTTGCTTACAAATATAAATAATTATAAAAGTAAATTAATGAAAATGAAGCATTAAATTACATAATTTGAATATAGAATATTAAACGAAAAATAATTATGTATGCATGGTAAGAAGATGATGAGAATAACATTTTTTTATATTTTACAAAAAAAAAGTTATTATTTGAAATTACATTATTTAATACTGAATGCGGAGGAAATCGTTTTCGTGCATGTGATCTGTTAAATTCTTGAGCCTTTCATTTATAAACTTTTGGTTCTTGAATTCTTGATGGAAGGCTTCAGTTAAAGTCATAGTCTTATTGGCGCTCAATTTTGATAAGTCGAGGATTTCATCGCCTTCTGTCAGCGCATTTTTTTGGATCAACAGTGCCAGAAGGTACCCAAACTTGCTGTAAATCTTCCAGTCGCTCTTCAGGTCCTCGAAAGTAATGATCTCCATCACATCGACGCCGAAATTCTCAAGCTGATTCTTGAGAACTGAATAATACAGTTTTAGATAATCGTCGAGTTTATCCAACAGATGTTTGGGGCCTCCTGCGTAGAAGAAATAGGAGAGATCCAAAACTGGAGATCCTTTCCTAATCAATTGGAAGTCGAGCAAGCAAAGATCTGTAGGTTGTCCTGGGTTGTTTGGATCCTGAAATACATTCAAATACATTGATTATCTTTGTATATTGTATTTGTTACATACGCTGTATTTGAACATCATGTTGTTGCTCCAGCAATCGCCGTGTGTTATTACCACTCGTTTACCCTTATTGTTGACAATATGTTCGAAGTATTTCAGCACGTTATCTTTCAAATGGTTGATGTCTCGTTTAATTTCTTCGTCTTCGTATAGTTTATCGATATGATCCAAGCACGAGCCAAACATGCCGAAAAAGTCGAAGCTGAAGATACCCGGAGTGAACATATCGTGTAAATCTTTGCTCAAATCGTAGTATTTCTCCGGATCGCAGTACTGAAGAGCGAACGATATTGCATGGTATTTGGCGTATTCCTGAAAGATCATTTGCAAATGCGCATCGTCGAATTGCATTTTTCTATCCAACAGTTGGAAACCGTGAAGGCGGATGTTCTCCAACACAATAAGTTCTTCCTTCTCCTTCAGACTGGATTTGTAGAATTTAGGAAAGCTGTCGAAATAATCCTTGATGCGTTTCTCCTTTTGAAACTCTTTCAGCGTTGGATAGATGTTCTCGTAGAAATAGATTTCTCGCTCAAAGGTTTTGCGCACCGGAAACATGGACCTGAATTCGTCCGATTTCGGTGCGCACTTTACGATCAGGTGTAGATCTTTTTCTTTGCTATGCACGTCCACTCGCGTTATGAAACTCACGTAACCTTCACCTTTGTTCGAGCCAGCGTCGATTGCGTAGACCGGCTCTGAAATGCATTCCTTCTGCACAACATCTGTAAGCACGCTTTTAACTTCATCTTCCGAAAGCACATTCTGTGGTAGAGGTGACATAGCTGTGCGCCGCTGAACGTAACTGGCGTATTTTTGATTGAAATTGTTTACAGCTCGATCCCTTCCCACCGCATCAAACGCAATTTGGATAGACGTGATAGATACTAACAAATGTTTATCTCAAGATAACCGATATAATTACTATTTGAAAAACATTTCAATTGACACAGTATGACTAAATTGAAATTACAATTAACTACGAACAGTTTAGAGAAATGGAGAGTTTCAATGAATATTATACAAATTATAGAATGTAACAACTGCGAAATTATTGACCTTGAATTTATTGTTATCAAAATATACGAGTTTTAAATATATATCTAATTTGATTATTTACGTAATAGAAATACTGTTTCAACAATTTGTAAATGAGAAATAATTTATAACTTTCTGTTCTTATTTTATTATTTTGGGTATAAAATTTGAAAAAAAAAAAACAAATATACGATTCTAATACGATTTCAAACAATTATTTTTTTGTATGTGGGACAATTTGAACTTTTTTTTTTATATAATTTATTTAAATAAATCAAATATTTGTGAGGTCGTAATTATCAAGTAATACACTTATTTACATAAATGAAAATGCATTAGATATCACGTTTAAATAATATGAATTTTAAATATTCAAACAAAATATTTATGTTTTATTAATGCGTTAATAATAATCATTACTTCATGATAATTATATTTGCGTGACATTACCTCAAATGCAAGTGACGTGAATAGCAAAGTGTGCATAATCTTTCATAAATATTTTGTTTACAAACAGTTGTTATTTTGTTTTTGATTAATAGTGAAAGCGAAGGTAATCGTTTTCGTGCATGTGATCTGTCAGATTCTTGAGTCTTTCGTTTATAAGATTTTGGTTCTTGTACTCTTGATGGAAAGTTTTCGTTAAAGACGACGACTTGTTAGCGCTCACATCGACTAAATCGAGCATTTCATCGTCATCGGCCAAAACGTTTTTATTGATCAACAAAGCCATGAGGTAACCTATCTTGCTGTACATTTTCCAGTCGCTCTTTAGGTCATCGAAAGTAATGATTTCTTCTACGTTGATGCCGAAATTGTCAAGCTGATCCTTGAGAATAGAGTAACTTAAGGTAATCATCGAGTTTGTTTAATAGGTCTTTTGAGGCTCCTGCGTAGAAGAAATTGGAGAGATCCAAAACTGGGGAGCCATTCCTGACCATTTGGAAATCGAGCAAGCAGAGATCTGTGGGTATTCCCGCATTGTCTGGATACTGAAATACATTCAAATATGTGGAGATTTTTTTAACTATTAGATTTGTTACTTACGTATTTGAACATCATTTTGTTGCTCCAACAATCGCCGTGCGTTATTACCACTCTTGTTCCCTTATTATTGATAGTATAATCATAGTATTTCAGCACGTTTTCCTTCAAATGGTTGATGTTGCGTTTCATATCGTCATCTTCGTATAGCTTTTCGATTTGATCCAAACACGATTGAAACACCCCGAAAAAGTCCAAGTTGAAGATACCCGGAGTGAACAAATCGAATAAATCTCTGCTCAAATCGTTGTATTTCTCCGGATCGCAGCGCTGAAGAGCGAATGAAATTGCGTGGAACTTGGCGAACTCCTTGAAGAGCATCTTCATATGGACATCATCGAAATGCTTCCTTTTGTCCCACAGTTGGAAACCGCGAACGCGTACGTTCTCCAAAACTATCAGTTCCTCTTTGTCCTTGTCGATAGATTTGTAGAATTTAGGGACGCTGCCAAAACAATCCTTGATGCATTTTTCCTTTTGAAACTCGCTCATGACTGGATAGATGTTCTTGTAGAAAGTGATCTCTCGCTCGAAGGTTGCGTGCACCGGAAAGAAGGCTCTGAATTTGTCCGATTTCGGTGCGCATTTTATGATCAGGTGAAGATCCTTTTCTTTGTTATGTACATCCACTCTCGTTACAAAACTCACGTAACCATCGCCTTTGTTGGAACCAATATTGATTGCGTAGATCGGCTCTGTAATGCATTCATTATGCACAACATCTTTTAGCACATTTTTAACTTCGTCTTCCGAAAGAACGTTTTCTAGTAGAGATGACATAACTATTACTTGCTCGATGCTTTGGATTAAAATAGATTTTGGCTCTATCCCTTCCACCTGCTTTAAACGTAATGAGGACGTTGGATTTTTCATTACTAATAATGTTTTTCTACAGATAAACAATATTATATCGATCATATTTCTATATTTATCATAGATTAAAATAATTCAATTAAAAAATAATTGATTTTTATCACGAATTACTAGTTTACTATATCTATAGTTGCAAAAAAAAACGCAGTAAAGTTTCTAAATTTAACGTAGATTTACTAAATTATATAATGTAGCAAATTAAGTTTAATTATTCATCTTGAATTTATTCATCTTATACAAAATTAAATTATTAACATTTGGAAACTGTCGATTTATTTCATAAAGTACTCATAAATATTAAATTGTACAATACTTATATTAGTGTTAAGATTACGTAAATATTCTCAGTACTCTTTAAATAGCAATTCCCTGCATCTTAAAGATAAACGAACAAAAACGTTTTCTATTTTTAAGTAGACTTTTTTTGTAATGTCAATTGTTCGTCGAACAATGCAATACAAATTCTGCAATAAATAGTTTTTTTTTTGTTTAATGTTACATAAAGATTATTTATACGTACGTAATTATTTTTCGAATCCGATTCGAATTTTGTAAATAGTATAATAAATAAATGTATTAGTGAAGTTAATTTGATAATCAAACATGCGCTTGTTTCTATCTCGAATGAATACAACACGAGTAGAATTTGACCTTGAAGTAATGCAATGTAATTATATTACGAGAAGGATGTTGCTTACATACGTTTTAAATATGTATTAATCTTCGTAAGGTATGTATTTTTTTTACTGTATTTTGTGTTGTACATACATCATTAATTCTTATTTTTCATTAAAAAAAATTACATATAGGATATGAGTTTTTATGTTACCAGGAATTTCTCCTGCAACTCTTTTTTTATTATAAAATATCAGATAGTCATAATTCTACATAAAACACAACAAATTTCAATAAATTTAAGTATCAAAATTTTGTTTTTAATAATGTCATTTATTGTTTGATAATTATTTACAATTGGTAAAATATTAATGTTGTGCTTACATTTCTTAATAAAGAATTGCTCTTTTTCAATAACAAAAAGTGAGAAGATTGACAATATTTTGTTCAATATTCTGAAAAGAAACACTTTGGTCGTTAGGCTAAGAAACATTATGTTTATGTATTTATTAATATAATTAAATAAAATATTTATAATTGGTTTGTTATTTAATATAACGTAATTACATATATAAAGAAAAAATGATATCAATTATTTATAGCAGAAATGATCACAGAATTTACTATATAATAATTTCTATTTAATCATTTGGTGTTGTGTTTCTGTTGAAGAGTAAATAAATGGGTCATTTATTGAACATAATAAGATAATATTGTATAACTAGCAAAATAATATTGATATGCAAAGAATGTTAAATTGTTTGAATTTTGATAAATGTATCACGTATGCATTGTGTGCGTATGTTGTTTAAATAATTATTATGAGATTAGCTCAAATACATCTGATGTGAATAACAACAAGTGAGGATGAGTTGTGTATTACGGTAATAATGAATACTCAAATCGGATGAGATCGTTTTCGAGCATGTGATCGGTCAGATCCTTGAGCCTTTCGTTTATGAGATCCTGATTTTTGAATTTTCGAAGGAATGACTCGGATAAGGACATATCGCTGTTCGCGCTTAAATCTGCGATGTCGATGATTTCGTCGGTTTCCGTCAAGGCCCCCTTGATTATAAGTATACCCATGAGGTAACCGAACTTGCTGTAGGTCTTCCAGTCGTTCTTGAGCTCCTCGAAAGTGATGACATTCTCCACGTCGATGCCGAACATCTTCAGCTGCTTGGAAAGAACCGAGTGGTAATACTTGAGATAATGGTCAAGTTTTTTGAGTAGATGTTTTGGGGCTCCCGCGTAGAAGAAATAAGAGAGATCCAAGACCGGAGAACCTTTCCTGACCAATTGGAAGTCGAGCAAGCAGAGATCTGTGGGTTTTTCCGGGTTGTTCGGATCCTGAAATGAATTCGAATATGTGAATTTTATTTATTACATGTGGATTTGTAACTTACGTCGTATTTGAACATCATGTTGCTGCTCCAGCAATCGCCGTGCGTGATGACGACCCGTTTACCTTTATTGTTGATAATGTGTTCGAAGTATTTCATGAGGTTGTCCTTCAACTGCGTAAGGTCGCGTTTGATTTCGTCGTCCTGGTAGAGGTTGTGGATTACCTCGATGCTCATTTTAAACGCCGTAAAAAACTCGAAGCTGAAGATGCCCGGCGTGAACATGTCGTAAAGGTTTTTGGACAGATCGTAGTATTTCTCCAGTTTGTAATGTTGCAGAGCGAACGAAATGGCGTGGTATTTGGCGTACTCTTTGAAGAGCATCTGGAAATGGGCGTCATCGAACTGATTCTTCCGATCCCATAATTGGAAACCGCGTTCTCGTATATTTTCTAGCACGATGATCTCTTCTTTATCCGTCTGTATGGATTTATAGAATTTGGGAACGCTTTCGAAACGATCCTCGATGCCCTTCTCCTTCTGGAACTCATCCATGGTTGGATAGATGTCCTCGTAGAATGCGATCTCCCGGAGGAAGGTGGAACGTATAGGAACGAAAGATCTAAATTCCTCAGATTTTGGGGCGCACTTTATGATCAGGTGAAGGTCTTTGTCCTTGCTCTTCACGTCGACTTTCGTCATGAAACTCAGGTAACCGTCGCCTTTGGCAGAACCTGCGCATATCGTGTATTCCGGCTTCGATATTTGCTCCTTCTCGACAACATCTTGAAGAACCTTCTTGACCTCATCCTCGCATAACACATTCGGTTGAAGTGAACCCATACTTGCTCGTGCTGCTCTTGCTTTAAACTGATGTTATGCGGCTCAAAACGGATCTTGGCTCATTTCAATCCCTTCCCCCGGTTACATCCATCACATCGCCTCGCAAGGACGATAGTTATAATTCATTTTCGGGGTCATTATTGTTATCTCTTTTCGGTCGGTTTCCGCATTAACAATCAAATGCACCAACAACCAATTACATAATCATCATCACAATCATTATTAGCACAAATAGCAGCATCAGTGCGAACAGTTGCGTAACGAAAACAACACGCTCCGAACTTTGACCCAATCAACATTTGGATGATAATGGATATATTTAAAAACATTAACAAAAATATTAAATTAGAGAAATTTTCCACATCGTGAACTTTTAGTCATTCTATTGAAAAAAACGAAATAATTATTTAATCCATAAAGAAATATCTCTATTTCTCATTAGAGAGAAAACCATATTAAATTTATGACAATTTTCAATATTTAAATAAAATTCACAAGTTATTTTTCAAGGTCACAAAATGTGAATTTCTATTTTTCAACAAAAACAATGTGAATGAACTAATGAATGAATGAACACATTAATTTATAATTCCAAAGTGATAGATCAAGTGGAAAAAAACTATATTATTACACACTTCTCATACTTATTATTAGAAATAATTAGTTTAATTATTAATACAATTGATTACGACTCTTGGCACGATCAGAATAATAATTAATTAATAAATTATTGTTGCGTTTGTATACATGATCGTTTTTCTCTCTAGCTTTAAAGTCCTCGATTTGTCCGGTTTCAAATAGTATTGGCACAACCGCATAATGCGAGCTGGTTTATTAACTTAGATATCTGACAAAATTTAAGTCTAATTACTTAACTATGATAAATAATTATTTAATCTGCTTGCTTTTGGTATTTTGAGAAATCAATGAAATTATTCAATGTTTACAAATATCCTTCAAATACCGAGTTAATTGCATTTTTAATTAGATATTAACATAATTTGAACAATATTTGTTTCGTTAATATCATGAATATTAAAGACTATATATATAAAACAAAAAGTATAGACAAATTAATACAATTTTAATTATATTTTGTTTAAATTATCTAACTGATTAGATTTTATTGTTTATATAAGATATTCATTATTTCTATTATGATCTCAAATTAATTTAAAGAAAAGCAAATATTTTGGTTATTATATCTGGCATAATATTGTAACGTAACATTCATTTCTAGTATCTGATAACAAACAAATAATATATTGCGGTTGTAATGTGCGATAGTGGAAAAAATAAAACATTTCTGATTTGAGGCACAATAATAACAGATTTTAGCTGTTGAAATCGAGTGGAGATCTAATTTCATATATCTGTGCAATGATTAGAACAAAAATTACACAATAATATTATTCTGTCAGAATATAGATAAAGAAAATATGTATTGCTTTAAAAAGTCGACTAATTACATGTGATTTGATTAATAACAGAAATCGTTTTCGAGCAATTATATTTAATATTCTCATATTAATGGACAGCTAATGTATTTTTAATTATCTTATCTGAAAATCAACTTTGCCACATAAATGTTATTTATGAAAACATTACTTTTCGTTGATTAACGTCGTTTCTTTTTTCATTAATCAATAAATTCTTTAAATTCTTCAACTTTCTGTACATATTTATTATAATAACATAATGTCAATATCCCATTTAGATTTCTCTTTGATTGTAAAGATAATATTATTCAAAATACACTTTCACTGCTTGTGCTCTAATTTGATCTTGGTTCAGTTCAATCCCTTCCCTACTTGCTTTCAAAGTTACACAACTTACAACGAAGGTTTTCAAAGGTTTTCTTTTGGAAATTACCTAAATATTGAAAGTGAATGTATCCAATTTAATAAATGAAATTAAAATGATATTCCAATTTATTAGTTTAAAAAAATGATTAGAAATTAATTATTTTAATTATAAGAAACATAACTTGCACACATATATGATCCCAAAATCTCAGACATTATCAACAAACTCCAAGGCCGACATGACGCCAGCACTCGCAAACCCAAAAATAAAATCCCAGAAATAGCAAAATTTCTAAGCACCATCAAACCTATGTTCCTTCACCCAGACCCAAACCTTCTCCAACCAATTAACTTAATGTCTATATTACGTATCACACACCATTGTTCATCATTTTTCTTCAGCTTGCATATAAGCACATACCATAAAAAAAACCTTTTTTTTATTCTAATTTGTAAACATCATGTATATATTTTGTATTTTCTGGCTAAATGAGCAACAATCTCACATATACGCCACCCCTTAACAATTACCATTCTCTGTATTGCATATTTACATCGTTTTAAATCGTTAAAAATCACATATATGATTTGAGTTTCAATAGTGATTCGAGTGTGATTTATACATAGTGGTGGGGTATCAGGTGCAATGTTGGAAGTATATCCAACAAACTGAAATCTGCGCGTATTGGGAAATCACAATACCACCACTGTCGTAATTTAATTTAATGGTTGATTTAGAATCATAAGATGATGATATATAACTAACAAATTAATTGTGAGCATTCTTTGCATATTGTTTGAATTTTGATAAATGTATCACGTATGCATTGTGTGCGTATGTTGTTTAAATAATTATTTGTGCACGAGATTTGCTCAGATACATCTGATGTGAATAACAACAAGTGAGGATGAGTTGTGCATTTCAGTAATCTATTTGAATATTTTGCACACATTAATACTCAACTCGGATGAGACCGTTTTCAAGCATATGATCGGTCAGATCTTTGAGCCTTTCGTTTATTTGTTCCTGATTTTTGAATTCCAAACAGAATGTTTCGGATAAGGACATATTGCTGTTCGCGCTTAAATCTGCGTTGTCGATGATTTCGTCGGGTTCCCTCAACGACCCCTTGATTAATAATATGGCCTTGAGATAACCGAACTTGCTGTAGATCTTCCAGTCATTCTTAAGCTCCTCGAAGGTGATGAAATGCTCCACTTCAATTCCGAACATCTTCAGCTGCTTGGAAAGAACTGAGTGATAATACTTGAGGTAATGGTCGAGTTTGTTGAGTAGGTGTTTTGGAGCTCCAGCGTAGAAGAAATTTGAGAGATCCAAGACTGGAGAACCTTTCCTAACCAATTGAAAATCGAGCAAGCGGAGATCTGTGGGTTTTTCCGGGTTGTTCTGATCCTGAAATACATTCGAATATGCGAAGATTTTCTTTACCATATACGGATTTGTAACATACGTTGTATTTGAACATCATGTTGCTGCTCCAGCAATCGCCGTGTGTGATGACGACTTGTTTACCTTTATTGTTGATAATGTGTTCGAAGTATTTCATGACGTTGTCCTTCAACTGCGAAAGGTCGCGTTTGATTTCGTCGTCCTGGTAGAAGTTTTTGATTTGCTCGATGCTCATTTGGTACGCCGTGAAAAACTCGAAGCTGAAGATGCCCGGCGTGAACATGTCGAATAAATCTTTGCTCAAATCGTAGTACTTTTCCAATTTGTAATGTTGGAGGGCGAACGAAATGGCATGGAATTTGGCGTACTCTTTAAAGAGCATCTGGAAATGGGCATCGTCGAACTGATTCATCCGATCCCATAATTGGAAACCGTGTTCTCGTATATTTTCCAGCACGATGATCTCTTCTTTATCCATTTGAATGGATTTGTACAATTTTGGAATGCTTTCGAAACGATCCTCGATGCCCTTCTCCTTCTGGAACTCATCCATGACTGGATAGATGTTCTCGTAGAAATCGATCTCCCGGAGGAAAGAGGTACGTATTGGAACAATGGATCGAAACTCCTCAGATTTTGGGGCGCACTTTATGATCAAGTGAAGATCTTTATCTTTGCTCTTCACGTCGACTTTGGTCATAAAACTCAGGAAACCGTCGCCTTTGGCGGAGCCTGCGCATATCGTGTATTCCGGAACGTGTATCTGTTGCTTCTCGACAATATCTTGAAGCACCTTCTTGACATAATCCTCACATAACACATTTGGTTCAAGTGAACTCATATTTGCTGCTCGTGCTCTAAACTGATGATAACTGGCTCAAAATGGATTTTGTCTCAATTCAATCCCTTCCCCCGGTTCCATCCATCATATCGCTCGCAAGTATGACAATTGATATCTCTCTATTAGCTTGTCCAGTACCAATTAAATGCATCAAAATGATGACAATCTTCATCAGCACTAGCAGCATCAGTGTAAACAGTTACGTAACTAAAACATCAGGCTCCAAACTTCGTCACAATGACAATCAACATTTTGATAATAATAATGTTATTTGTTGTTGTGCCGCAGATAAGACGCGTAGCTTCAAAAATAGCATTAGCAAAAGCGTGAAAAATATCCATATTTTACTGAACGTAATAGAATACATACAGATCTATTTGAGGCACGTTTCGTATTATAAATGAAGTTTGGATATTGCGGAATTTTCTAAATGTTGCGAAATTACAGTATATTTGATACTAAACCTAAACAAATGTGTAATTATTATTTATCATCTTTATTATTATTATTAGTAAATAATGAGAAAATCTAAAATATTTTGAAAATCTTCTTCAAGATGTAATTATATATATATCTATGCACTGATTAGAGCGCACACACACACTCCGAAATAGATTTATTTGAAGCACGTTTAGTCTTATAAATAAGCACAACCCGGTATTATGTCAAGGATCTTTTCCTAAAATATTATTTGATCTTTACGAATCCACAAATATGTTCATTAAATAAACGAGAGTTTGGTGGAATTTACCTCTTTCATCAAAACAAATCTGTAATGTACAATTAATTGACTGTTGTGCAGCTTTTATACTGTAAGTAATATTATGTTATTATAAATAATATACATGAATTCGCAGTGTGCTTATTAAATTGTATATGACAACTCAAAATACATTTGTTTCGTGTTTCATTACACTTAATTTTCTTTCGAATTGTTACGTAAATGCAAAAATTACTGCATTTTAACCATGACATGATTCATATCGAACCTTGAGGTAATTTGTACTAAAAAAAAAAAGCAAGGCCATTCATGTTTTTCTTCCTTAATTTTTTGTCTTTAATTCGGATGAAATCGAGCTGCAAATTTGTTGATCTTTCCATTCTTAATTGATTCTTCAGAAATTCTATTTTTTTTATGACTACTGAATGTTTAACCTTACTCTTTTGTTTTTTAAGCATTCATTTTTTTTTAAATACTTATATATTATTGATAATTTAATCGCAAGTAAAAAAAATGCAAATTAACTTTTAGTATTAAAAATAAACATTAATTTTTAGATTATTATGCGCGTGCCACAAAAGTTTTGTCCTTGATGCAACGGAAGAAGTTTCGCTCAAAATTTGTTTGATTTGCGCTCTTACGTAGTGTAAATAATTTCATGTCTCCTTGGAATATTTTTAGTTTTTCTCTTATTCTGCCGTCAAATTAAACAAACGATGTTGATTTTTCTAACGAAATATACGGAATTTTAGATACGATATCTCACGAATATTATTGTGTAAAAAAAGGAGGGATTTTCGGGTTTTTGTATACAAAGAACGAACTTTCTCAATAATATATTTTCCAATTTGACGTTTTGCAATCTTTCTGGCAACTTCATAGAACTTCTGGTTCTTATCAGTAAAAAAACTGAACAAATGAGATTTCAGGTCATCATAATTAGTTAAAGTTTTACTATTCAAAGAGTTTTGCAAACTTTTAAATAAATGGTAATCTAATAGTACAAGGTCAGGTATATATGCAACATCACTTCCAAATCAACCTCCAATAACTTTCCACGAGTTATCAAAGATGTGTGAGGATTTGTATTGTTTTGGTGGAACATGATTTGCCAATTATGTCTATTATTCTTTGATTGCTTCATTCAGTTTCATTAGTTGTTAAAAGTAAATAGCTGAATTGATCGTTTGATTCCAGCTTTCGGTGTGTTTTGTGCTGTGTTTTGAGCAGCAAAATCGTAGATTCATTTGGATTAGTTACATTCCAATTAAGAGTATGAATATATATACCAAATGCATTTTTTCTATTTTGTTATCATTGAATTATCTAACAATATGTACGCATCGTAAAATATATATATAATATTTGAAGTGCAGCTTAATACAAATAAAAATTAGTTCATTAAAGAATTTAAGAAGATAATCGTTGAGTAATCGCAAACGTTGCTAAATTTTTCTTATTAATTTTCATTGTTCGTACAAATTGTAATGCGACCATAAAATTAAGTTCAATTGCTCTAATAAATGGATCAAACAAGTTAAAAAAAGTTGTTTTTATCATCAAATTATAAACAATAATAATTGCATTCAACAATTGAAACGTAATATTGAGATTGTCAATTTGAAAAATGAAATTTATTTGCTTTAGAGAAAAACAATAATTAAAAAACAAACAAGTTCGAAACTGATTAATTAAGAAGAACGATGTGGTCATCATTACAAATTGCTCCGAGCAAAGTTCACAATTAAATGATGTGAACAGAATAATATTGAAAAAGAAATTTCACTGTTGAGTTTCTACAAGAAAATAATATTAAATAATCAGAAATATAAAAAAAAAATACATATTTTTTTAATTTTACATAAAAGTAAATAATTCGCAATTTGCAACGAGTGGAAATTTCTAAATGAATAATAAAAAATAAGTAAATTTATGATACTATATTGTTCTTATGTGCAAGTTTAAGTTATTTATGATGTTTGATTAGGATCAAGTAGGCTTATTAGACATTTAATTTATGACTTTCGCAATTATGTTTATTTTTTTGCTAAATATTTAAAGATTTTAATTAAAAGAAAAATAGGAATGATAACCGGATCGCACATGCCAGACATTGACTTGTTTATATTATTGATCTATTGCGGCGTGTGTTGAAAATAAAAATGTATTAACTGAAGATGCTTCAAGTTGTTTAATAACAAATAAATGAAAATGCGTTTTCCGCTTATTTTCGTGGGATTCTGTTAGTGTTAAGAGGATAATTGTACAAAACATTTGAGACAATAAGTAAATTACTTCTATTTGTGATTCTACGAATTTCCCCGAGGTCGTTCAGCATTCCGAATCGCGCTTATTATGTATATATATATATATATCTATAGTATTGCAGTGGTAGTAGAATCAGTCAATGTATGCTTGCTGCTGGTGCTAAAACTGCGTCACTTAATTGATCTGTGAATAGATTTGCTTAGTTTACGATCATGGCATGCGTAGAGACATTCATTGAAGATGTTCTGCGGAAGGAGGATCTTCAGGAAGTGTCCATCGAGTACGGCACGAGCAGCGGTGGTTTCGTCGGCGATGTCAGCACTGCTGTTGTGCACCATTCCAGAGGAATCATCAATCTCTTCATCAAGAAGAATGAATCGGAATTGGCCAAAATCATGTCCAAGTATGAGACCAATTTCTACGAGGTGATCGTACCGAAGCTCAACGCGATTTCTGGAAACTCCTGGAGAGACGTTCCCAAGTGCTACCTTTCCACCGAGACTGAGATAATCTTGGAAAACGTGTGCGCCAAAGGCTTCCATCTATGGAAAGAGCTGGGACATCCTTTGAGCAGCGAATATATCGAGGCGGTGCTCAAATGTTACGGGCAATTCCACGGTTTGAGTTTCGCGCTGAAGCAGCTCGAACCTGAAGTCTTCGAAGAGATATCGTTCAGCGATTACGAACCGATGATCTTGGCTTTGAATGCGTACAAGAACGACACGATCATCAGCAACTTCACAGATATCGCGACGAAAAGCTTTGGGGAGGAAGACGAGGAGTGTAAGAAGGCTTTCAAGAAATTCATCAACGATGACATCCTCACCTTTCTGGAGGAACTGAAAGCTGAAGATAAGTACAACGTGATTGTCCATGGAGATTGTTGGACCAATAATTTCATGTTCAGGGAACGCGAGGTAAAGAAATTTACAATTGTAAAATGTTTGTACTAATTATCGTAATTGTTGTTCGTTTCAGGGAGATATCGATGTACGGATGTTGGACTTTCAACTGGCCCGCAAAGCATCTCCGATTGTTGACCTGTCTTACTTTTTGACGACGAGCGGATGTTCCAAAGATGTCTTCAACAACGTCGACGCTTTTTTGAAGATTTACCACGATGCTTTGGTGAATACTTTGGATAGGTTGCACTGCGATCCGGACGTATTTCCTTTTGGTGAACTTAAGAGGCAGTGGTGTAAATACGGTCGGTACGGCACATTTTGGTCTATGGCCATCAGCAAGATGATGATTGCAGACAAGGAAGAAGTAGAAGCAGCGCACACGGATCGCGGAATCTTCCACAGCTTCTACTTCACCTCCAAGAATGAAGCTATATACGATGAACGCATGAATATGATTATAAAATATTTTTTCAAATAATCTAAAGCATTTATTATAATAAGACTTATTCATTTTCAGTACAAATTATTTAACATTTTAGAATAATTCCAATAGATTAATTATACAAATAAATAAATATATATATTCCAAATATCATTTATCCATTTAATAGTACCATTATTTATCTTTTTACAAATATTTTAAACTATTTCAAATTCTCATTTTTCTATTTATCCTTAATCGATTTCAACTATCCAAAACTCAATCAATTTTTATTATATGCAACCAACTTAACTTACACTAATCAGAGTGACCCGTTGTTTTCATTCACATTCTATAGTAATTTAATTATGCACTTTCCAGAGTAAAGCAGTCCCGGCGAGAGTTACTTATATTAATGTATTTCGGGTCAAAGTAACCTGTCTATAGTAACTACATTCTTGAAACATCATCAATATTTGGATTTCAAAGTTGAATAACTTTGGTTTCCATGTACTTAAACGGTATCAGTAATTCTGATATCCAGTGTGCACTGCACCAATACTGTGAATTCTAGGAATTCTTTAATAAAACAAGTAGGACGTACGTTGTGTGACCTATATATGAATGATCGAATGTGCAACCAAAAGTTTCCCTAAAATCTTAGAATTTTGATTGCAAATATCAAGAAGATTCCTGTTTAAAGACAATCTTTTTTTTTAATTTCTTATTATTATAGCAATCTATCATCTGACATAGATATCAAGCCTTATGAATGTGGTAAAAAGAAAAATAAAAAAAATGACACTAAAATTCTTTCTGAAGAGATGATCCAGCAACCCCACTTCACATATACAATAATTATTTATGCACTTGCAAACATTGATTTATTGATTATTAAAATCGGTTGGGTAAGTCTTGCGGTTTAAACCTCTTCAGTCTTCGACGATGACAATCTAATGCAATCTAATGAACAGATTCCTACATCCAAAAGAAAGAGGTGTTTTAAAAGACCAATTTGTTATATTTGCTCAAAAGAAAATTGTCTATTTTGTGCAATAAAATCAGTTTGAAATTATGTGAATTTACATTAAATAATAAGAATTAATCTGCGTTTGTTCTAAAAATCAATAATTTGTTCTTTTTTAATATTTAATAAACAGGTCATTTTGACCCATGGTGGTAATTCTGTATTATTTAGTTACCGTTATTTTCTAACCTATTCAATTTATCCTTATAAAATTAATAATACTATATTTATTGAAACAACTTTAAGATTTGAGTTTCTTTAATACCTAATCAAATCATGATACAAATTCTGATTATAATGTTCTATTGTTAGGCAACTTCTATAACGTCTTTGTATACAATTCACATAAGACTTTTATTAAGATCAAACATCATTTGAGACTTGCATAATAATTTATATAATAATTAAGTTTTCATTAGTTGTTTTACCATAACTTATATAACATGAAATATATTTTTTCATAGAAAAAAAATGTTTTTGATTACAATAGAAAATATATCCTCACTGCATTTTGTTTAATTAACAACGCAAGTATTAATAGATTACTCAATTCACTTATACTTAAAGAATAATAAAAACAATATTTCTAATATAATTATATTAATATTTACACATAAATAAAAAACTAAATTATTTATTTTCAAATTTATTCGTGCCTTTTTTTTAGAATTTCGAAATATTAAGTATTTTGTTTATAAAAGTGATGTGGTTATTATTAGTAATGCATGAAATTATTATTACTCAACAAACTTATTCTAATTAAATACTTTAAGCTTGTAAATGCATTAGCCGAATGCTGAATGACTAAACCAGATTCACTAAATTCGTAATACAAACGCAACTGTTTTTCGTATCAGTTTAAACAAAGAAACAAGTTACTATAACAATATTTATACGTTTTCGCAACAATTCATAGTTGTTTTTTTTTTCAAAATTTTAACAATTTCTTTTTGTTACGAAATGAATAGACATTTGCATAAGTCTTGCAATAATTAAAGCATTTGGATGGCAGAATATTATTAGTCGATATCTCGTGGCCCAGATTCACGTATAATGCTCATTCACATCCGATAACTGACGTCCATTGTCTATCGGGATTAATACTTTTTCTGCGAAACCATCACTAATCTGGGCATTAGTCGCACTCGGCACTTTTTTTTATTGTCGCACACTCGAAGATTTCCACTATTCATTCGCATCTTGCATTTTACATTCTCTCAATTGCACCATTCACAATTCATATATTCATTTTTTAATCAAAAAGCCCAAGAGAATGGGGAATGGCATCAAATACATGAGTTAATTAAAATTTACAATAAAATTATTATTGTAAAGTATTTACAACACATATTCACTAAATTGGTTAGTAGAAAGTATCAACAAAATATTTAATAATTTACTGAAAAATATAACTAATATTTACAAATTGTAAAACCAAATTGTTTTCATTAGAATTACATATTCCACTATCTTCAATACAACTTTCATTAAAAATTTAATTTCATTAAATTGGAATTATTTAAAGATTTCCATGATAGTTTCTACTCCTTTTTTCATAATATATTTATAAATTATTGCTAAACGATAATCTGACCATCTCTTTGGAACTGTTGTAGTTTTATGAAATTAAATTATTAATTTAGATTTGGTTCACTTGAATTACTTTTGTAATTTATAGCGATTTTTATTAATTTGATTATTAAAGAAAATATGTAATTTTAATCACTTATTTTTAAGCATAATTTTAATTTAATTATCTATTAATAACCCAAAATCTATTAATTTGTTAAAAAAAAACTGATTTGTTTTGAAATATTTTTTTTAAATTGGAAAATTAAAGAAATTTTATGCTAAAAAATCATCTATTGCTAAAGTGAGTAATTTTTAAACATTATTTTAATCACATTCTCAATCAATAACATAAAATATAATAATTAGTTAAAAAGGTTAGATTTTGAGATTTTTGCAAGAAAATCTGTAATAAAACGACTGCTAATATTTTTTTGAATCTATTAATTAGTTAAAAAACTTAAGTTTTGTCTGTTAATTACATAAAATCAATTAATTCGTTAAAAAAACTTATTTTTTGAAATTTTCTATAAAATTTGAACAGCATAGAAAAACTGTAACAAAACGTCTGCTAATAAAGTTTTATTTTTAAATCAGTCAGTTTTAAGCATAATTTTAGTTAAATTATCATATAATAACATAAAATCTAATAATTAGTCAAAAACATTAGGTTTTTGAGATTTTTTTTTGTAATTTTCAACTTCATCTGTTAATAAAATTCTATTTAAATTTTTTTTTTTGTAAGTCTCATTTTGGTTACTTCATATTTTAATAACATAAAATTGAAATTTTTATAGTAAAGAAATTCTATGCAAAAACATCTGTTACTATTTTTTTCTTTAAATCAGTTATTTTAAACGAATTATTATTATCTTTACAAACCATTGCTATTGCAAATTACAATCAAATGCAAATTAAAGTATTTGAGTGCGCAAAAAACATTGTCTCATTGCGGGATTAGTAAACCGAACCTTGACTAACCGATGATCTCAACTTCGGAAATTGTGGTTAATTGTATGTAAACCTTCTGTCACATATGCGTAAGTATGAAACGCTTAAACCACACGTGCTCCAGGGTTTCCAAAGACTATCCCAGGAATAAAAGGAAAAGAAACAGAGAGACAAGAAATTGCATAATCTACTAATTGCAAAGCAACCTTGAGTCTATTTCCGTGTGGTCGTTGATTTTTCGCTCTCCTTTAAATATTTACGCTCGCGAAGTACGCGCAATAAACAATACGGTAGAGTATAAACAATTTGTTAGAGAATAAGCAATACGTTAGAGAATAAACATATTTTCCTTAGCTCCTGCTTTCAAAATCAATCGGAAATGATCGGTTAACATTTTATAGTTAACAGATCACATGGATTGTAGTGTTTCTTGAATGTTTAATGATTTGTTATAGGAAAGATTTGAAATAAATCGTTGATGTTGGATTTAGATTCAGAAATAGAAGTATTTCGTCTATAATCATCTCCGATCTATTTGGAATTAATTGCTCTTTCTTTCAGTGCGTGCGAGTGGAAAAACACCTTCCTTTGGGATTAGGTTGTAAAAATAGTGGACATTGCGTATAAATAGAGCTGGAGGCGCGTTCAGATTTATTTTTTTGTTAGTTTTAGTTCTTTCTTTCATCCGGAGAAGGAGAAAGAGCGCGTGGGCTTTTCGAACGCTATTATATAAAGTGGAGAGATACTTTTGTCCCTCGGATGCAGGCATCTCGGTCGGTCTCCTCGAGTTCCTTTTGTATCTCCATATAAGCGGATCCGAATCGCTAATATGCAAAAGAACTTTTGCGGCGACCTTCCATTAAAAGAAGGACCGTCATGTGTCTGTGTGTGTGTATGTGGGATGACCGTTTCTTACGGATATTCGGTGCGCTTAATTTTTGGACACGCCGTTCAGCGTAATTTTAAAATTAGCCTGGTCCACGGTCTTTTTCATAACCACCTACCTAAGAACAACATGAACATGAGACATAGAGAGTAAAAAAAAAAGTCCAATATTTATGTCCAATAATTACAAGATATTAAGCGTAAAATTAATACTTTGAGCTTGCTCATCGCCAGAACAAATTCACCTACCTAAGACTTACAAAGTATTTTTTCTTCCGGCGCTATTTCTACCCCTTTCGGGTTTAACAGCTCTCTTACAAAGTAATGATCTCAAAATCATCTATATAAGATCAATAAGTTCAAAGGATATAAACACACAAAAATTCAATCCTTTTATCCAAAATTTAGAAAAAAAAAAGCGTAAAATTAATACTTTGAACTTGCTCATCGCCCGAACAAAATCATCTACCTAAGACTTGCAAAGTATATAAGAAAATCAAAAACGTAAAAATCCAACATTTATCTCTAATTTTTGCAAGATATTAAGGATGTTTAAAACTTATCGATCTTAAAATCATCTATCTAAGATTAATAAGTTCAAAGGATATAAAAAGACAAAAAATCAAGGGTAAATTAATACTTTGAGCTTGCTCATTCCGAACAAAAATTATCTACCTATGAGCTACAAAATATATACGAAATTAAAAAAAAAAACCGTAAAAATACAACATTAATCACTAGTTTTTGCAGTATTTTAAGTATATAATTAATGTTTACAACTTGATGATTAATTATCTAAGATCTAAAAGTTCAAATGATTTAAACAGGCAAAAATTCAACCCTTTTGTTTAATACTTATAAAAAAAGCGTAAAATTAATACATTGAGCTTCAGATTTTCACACTATGATGCAAGTTTTCGAAATGTCGGCAATGAAACCACAGCAATGTATGAATATTCGCTACATTTTCCAAAATATCCAGCTTTCATATGCATCTTTTGAATCCATTCAATCTATTATAGTTTTCCCATTTTCCAGCGTTAATTTTTAATTTTTTCAAATTTCAACGCGAATTACAGCTAAATGAACGTAACCACAGTAATGTATGAAAACTCGCTAGATTTTCTAAACATCCAACTTTCATATGCATTCAATCTGTTACAGTTTTCGAGAAAATCATTAAAATAAGAAAAAAAAATCGAGCATTTTTTTTCATTATTTCAACACGAATTATCCAAACATACAGTTTTCATTAATTTAAACCAATTAATCTATTATACAATTAAACATACATTTGGTGTTTATTAAATGATTAGCAGAATTTCTTGGGTTCATAGCTATTTTTCTTTGAAATATAGCAATAAAGAATTGCAAATAAATCAATTTTATTTTCTCTAAAAATTTTACTACTTTGTATTTATGATGTTTCGTAAATTAAAACTTGTTGTTGCATAATGTTGGAAACGCAAGGCCAAGCTGACTGCTTATGGTCATGTTCGTTATTACTATGGTAATTGCATCTACGAGGAAGATGATGCTGATCCATTTGTGGTATCATCGAATAAAAATTTAAAAATAAACATTATATGATTAATTGATTATTATTACAACAGATAATCTTTTAATCTTATAATTGTATATGTAACGCTTAAAAATGAGTTGAGTTATTTAGATATCGTATATTAAAAAACATAGAAGTGGTTTTAAAATTAAATAGCATTGATCCATATACAATCGTTGCAGGAGATAGAGAAAAGCTTTCTACTGAAAAATGCGATACGATTATAAAAAAATAACTATATCAGCAATAAAACATAGAATTGTGTATTTCGCTTTATGTAATAATATTATTTACTGTATTTGTTTTAACGAATTTTAACATATATTAACATATGTTCTAACTAGATTATACTTAATGAAATGAACTATGTTAAATGTTATTAAAACCTGTTACATTTTATATGCAATATCTCGCACAATGCGACTTCAATCAGTCCGGATTATAGTAAAAACAATTATACAGAAAACTATAGTTTATTACATAAACTATAGTTTTTTTTCTTTCTTTTATACATTAAATTCCTCAATTAGTAAGGTTTCAAACAGTGCGGGATATTGGATGATATTATAATTAGCATAATATTCTCGAATATTCATTATACAAAAAACATAATAGAAAATTTAATCAATTATTTTAAAATTGAAATTAAAAAATTTGATTATGTAGAAATATTTTATAATATTTGACGATTTTTTTTATACTTGTTATTAAAATATTATCGTAAAAAGTTTCTTCCATTGAAATTTGTTTCGTTTTTACAAATAATTGTATTTTTGTTGATTCATTTAATTTGTTAATGAAATTATTAAAACTAACATTTTGATTGTTTTTATAGTAAAAAAAAACAGCAACAGAAGAAAACAAAATATCAACTTGACTTTAATTAAAAGCTTTGATTTAATTTGTTAATATTTTTAAATTTTATTTGTCAATAGAATTATTTGAAAAGTTAAAAAAAACTGCAGCTGAGGAGAACAAAAATATCAAGTTACTGTACATCATATGTCAAATAAAACAAATCATAACACGACTAAGAATTAAAATTGACAGATTTGATGAGTACAAATCAACCAATTACTTTGTTTGACGTTAAAATATCTTCTAATTGGAAATTTTATAATCAATGTTTGTAGATTAATTTAGAGAATATTCAATTAAATAATTTTGAAGTAAAAGTTCTGATATATTTTATGTAACAATTTAGACAAATCTAACTGCTGATAATTTCAATTAAAATCAAAAGATTTAAGATACACTTAATAATTTGTTCAGTTAATGCTATATTTTTTTAATGGAAAGTGTATTATCAATTTTTGTAGATTAATTATTTTTAAAGTTAAAATCTTGACTTATTTTATGTAATAATAAAATCAAAAACAACTTGATCAAAAGATTTGATTTATACTCATTAAATAGTTAAAATAAATATGCTTAAATTTCATCTAATTGGAAGCTTGATCATCAATTTTTTGTAGATATTTAATGTAATAATAAAAGCAAATATGAATTCTTAAGTAACTAACAAGTATTTCCTAAGCGTATTTTCTTGAAGTAGTTTGCATAATGTTCAATTCGAACATGTCCTATATACGAGTACAGAAGTAGGAAGTGGAGTGTCCGTATCCTGAGATCACTAATTGAGATAACATGCAGTTCGCAAGTTCGGTCATTCGGAAATACGTCTTTTGCGAGCAATAATTCTGTCATCGGTAATGGATAAATTCGATGTAATTGCGTGTCCATTTAGTGTCCCATTTAAGCAGGTCGTCGGTTGTGCGTGTATTCTTGCATGCACATGTATGTATGTATGTGTGTGTGTGAATGCGAGTAAGTGTGTGTATCAATTTGTCGCGTCCCACTCCTGTTGATCCTGCCGTTTGTAGCTTACTCTCTTGGCCTGCTGCTTGGACGAGAAGAGATCACATGCAGTGTGTATCTGGAGTTGGTAGAGTGTGCGAAAAAAAAAAGTCGGCGGTGCGCGTAGGAAAGTTTGTCGAGAAGTCGAAGAAGAAGACAGTAACTGTAACAGAGAGATCGGGATGAGGTTCGACCTGGGGGTGGCCTCATTGGCCTTCGTCTCATTTTGCCTTCTCGTAGATGCAGTCACCTTAGATACCGGTAATGCAAAAAAAAATCCCCTAAAAAAATAATTATGATTTAACCCATTTTACCCTAAATATAAAATAACAACAGCAAAAAAAAATCCCCAAAAAAATAATTTTTATTTAACGATATGTCAGTCACCCTAAATGCAAAACAACAATAAAAAAATCCCCTAAAACCATAATAATTATTTAATCATTCGATGTCACCCTAAATGTAAAATAATTACAAAAAAAAAAATCCCCTAAAAATAATTATTACTTAACCGACGAAGAATAGGGAGATATGTATGTCATCTTAAATAATAACAATATAATGAATAAACCCAATTAACAATTTGACATGCATCTCAAATCCACTATGACACAGTTTCCGAAGAAGTTCTATATTTAAAATGCAATCTTTACTTTTTTTTTTCTTCCCCTTTTAAAATCCTTGGCACGTCGCCAATTTCCGCTTAATCAAACTGAAAACACCTAATTGCATTTCCAAAAATGTGTGTTTAAACCGATTTTTACGCACGTCCGCAGCATTAGTCTCATGAATCTCTCGTCGCTCGGGACATGATATCATTTGTTTCTCTACAATGACAGAATTATGTGATTCACATTTATTTATTATTCAATTACCATTGAAATACCACACGGTATTATTATTATTAGAAACAATGTATTTTCGGATAAATTTGATAACGTAATCCTTTATACATTTATTTTTCATGCAATTGGATACTTTTGTTTTACATCTAATTGCTTTAGCAAACAGTTTAACGTTGATTAAATTACCTCCAGAGTTGATAGAGAATCTGTATATAAATAGAAATGGAATCATTTTTTTTTAAATTTTTTTTTTCTTCAGATAAAAAAATAATTCAAAATGTTACAAGGTTCAGTTTTATACTAACTTTTTCAAACCTTATCACTATGTTTTATTATACACGCTCGTAGATTATAAAGCTAATAAGTTCTAATTTGTTTAACACACATTCAAGAATTTAATGAACAAAATTATGCTTTTTCTGATATACGTTATTTTACCATTTCATCAATAAATTGTGCAATTTTTCATTATTTTAAATACAAAATTTATAGATTGCACAAATAATTAATTGTTCATGAATGTAGACAAATCACATATTACTTCATGTTATTTGTTTTTAAATCAATTCTTAATGATTCGTATTACATTTCGAATTTTATCAAGTAGATTTAGTTGGATCCTAATGTGGGTTTATATTTTTTCCAAATATATATTGTAATACTTTTCCTTATAAGAATTTAAATGTTTTATTCAGAATTTTTATGAGAAGAATATTAATTTTGAATATATTTTTTTTTAATCATCTAAATTGTTTTAATATCTATGGTATTATTATTATGAGAGAATGAAAACTTGACTTCATTAAGACACGATAAGATAATTTTCCATTTGAGTTAATTACTTTCATAAATTAATAATTTATTATTGTTTCAGTAAAATTAGTGAACTTATTCAAACAGTTGTATGTTATATATTATAAGAAAATTAATCAAGTTTTTTATGGAAAAAGTACAATGTTTGAAATTCCATGATGTGTGTATTTTTTTGAGAATTATTTAAAAAATATTGTCGATTTACGATCAAATTTTACAATAATTGAAACAAAATATGTACAATATGCATAAACTTATAAATGCAATTTATAATGTTTTGATGATTGTTTTATGAAAAGAAGTAAACATTTCTAAAAATGTGTATTTTGTCATATAAAAAGCAAATGAAGTAAGTGTTATTACGTAAATTCGGTGGTGAATAAATTATATAAAACTGTATTTTTTTCTTCATCTCAGACTTTGCATCATTTGCATTCGCCTTTTTTGAATGTCCGGTGCGGTTCGGACTCGAATTTCAAACGCCCAAACATAGTTTTTGTTGTTTCGGTCGGCAGGCGCCTTATATTGTTGTTTTGAACAAACAACATATGGTGGTAACGAATGTGAAAGAAAATCATAAATAGTAATATGGAAAAAAAGGTACAGAAAAAAAAAAGTAAACTTGGAATGAATATTAATGGCAAACCTACTTACGGCTTTTGATTGCTCAACGTGTGTACGTATTTACACCCACCTGAAGCACACATGCGCCACGCGAGTGAAAAGACGGAAGAAATCTTCCAACGAATATCGAAGAATCCTTTCAATAATTTCATAAGGGAACGGCGCCAGCGATGAGGAAACTGGGATCGTTGCAGGAATTAAGGATTAAGGAGATCCGTTCACGCATGAAATTGGAAAACATTTAGATTATGGTGCGTTGGCTGAAACAGCCATAGAATTTGTTACAAGGTCTAACTTATATTATACCATTGAATACACGCGCGATCTAAAAGTCGACGTAAAGAAATTTTCAAAAATTTTGCGGTTATCCAATGGGATCAGCTTGTTGGATAACCGCGTTTCTGTGGAACCGAAACCGCGATCTTCGCCGCCTTTCCGCGATTCGAAAGACCTCTTAAAATGCACGCGACGTAATGCGGAACTGCCACAGAAATCCTGTTCTAAAATAATCCATCCTTATATGTCTTTCTCTACCGATATGCAATTGAAGCAGCTATATAAAAAAATAACCGCAATCTGTTAACGTTCTTTTTTTTCTTCAAATGCAGTGGCTTCCAGAGAGCTGGAGGACGTCATCAAAGGGGACAGCATGGTTTTGTCTTTGCGCCACATCAAGGCCAGGAAGCGACACCGCGGACCCGAAACCCTCTTCACCGTCGACTTCCCTGGATCCGAGGAGAAGTTTTCGTTGATTCTGGACAGAAATAGCAAACGAGGTGTGTTACAATTTCCGTTTAAACAACAGCAAGAAACATATACAAATACTTTATATTCATTTAATTTCAATGGCAGCAATAACATATTTATAGCATATTTTAAATGAAAAAACTTAGTATATAATTTATACAAAGTAAATATTTAAATACATCTTTCAATTAAATAAGATTTAAAAGTAACTATTAATAAATTTCCCAAATGAAAAAATGATTACATTATATATTTTAAATTTATGAATTTACAATATCTAAATTAGTCGACTGCAAAAAAAAACGTTTGTGTTACATGCAAACTTCTTGAGTCGTAACTTTATTACTCGTATCTATTAATAATTTTTGTACACCCAGCATAAACAATTCAGACATTGAGAATTAAAGTACGTAGTTTAAAACGGAAATTACCACTTAGATTTGCTACTGAAGAAAAAATAAACTAATTATAATTATACAACAAATTAAATTTTTTAGTTGTTGCAGTTTCGTGTATTTCTTAAAAATGATTGATTTTTGTTTTATTTTGAAAGTAGTAATATTTTATTTTACTGGATATTTTACATCTGGTTGATTTAATATCTAGTCATTACGTTATTTGTTTGAAGTAGTTAATGGTTTAATACTAGATTTTATTATTCTTTCTTTATTTTCAGTTACTTTTTAAACTGAAGACTTTTCTCATTACTTAACGTAACTTATTTTGGTATTGGATATCAATGATTACAAAAAAAACTAAAATAGTATAATTTAATGTCAATAAAAAATGATTAAACAAATTCAGATTTATTGCATAGCATGTAAAATGGAATAAATTGAATGACTTGGATCTTAGATTTTTATTATTGTTTACTGATAGTGTTTTATAGTAATTGCTAGTCATATTCGCTTATTGTTATTTTGTTTTCATTATTTTAGTTTTTTGTTTTAATTATCTGAAACGAGGTCGCAGATTTGATCGTTGGTAAAAACTTAATTAATTTAGTTGTTATTTTATCATTATCGATGGAAAAAAGGTGACAATTGAGTTTGTTGTGAAAAATAATAGTATTATTGTGTTTGGGATGTTTCGATTGGAAATGTACATTTTTTTATTGATGTTTCAGTGATTGTTGAGACTGTGGAGAATGGAAGAGAGAGATCTCAGCACTTCACTGTGGACACGTTGGACGATGATTCTTTGATAAAATCGTTGATCCTTTCCGTGAACCAGGTGAAGCCGGACGCCGACGTGACCCTCTTCATGGACTGCATATCCTACGGTCGAGTGGCGATGCCGAAAACGATGAAGGAGATGTTCTTGGGAATGGAAGAGCCTAAGCTGACGGTGGTAAGATTTGCAACATCTTAGATAATTGCTAATTGCATAAAAATTAACAACATTTTGTAAAAAAAAAATATAATGTATTAATGTCGAACGTTTTCCGTTGACCCGAAAGCAACGATGAGAGTAGCGTTGCCTCTTCTTCAGCGAAGCACGCGGAGCGGTTTCGAGGACGGCATCTCTTTAAGGAGATGTCGGGTTGTGCACACTTATTCACTCTCTCGAATTACGCGTTTCATATAAACGGCGGTGCACTTAATTCCATCGCATTGACCTCGTATGTCTTGCATCGCGATTAACGGCACCGATATCGTCGTTCGCAATACTAGGATTAATAGTTGTAGTTGTAGTAGTAGTGGTTGTAGTAGCTGGATTTATAGAGGACGTATTTCAGATGAGAGAGAAGAAGTACCCGGTCGAGATTGAAGGTCATCATGCTCTGAAGAAGGTACTGGCGAGGAACAACTGCCACCACAAAGACCATCACGATCTGGATAAGTTCTTCAGGAACTACGAAAACGATCACAACATCCAAAGCTACCAACCGGATCATCGCGCCGACATTCCGATAATCTCAGATTTGGACGACAGTACTACTGAACTAATTAATTAATATTTAAAATAAATACTTATTTATTACTTGTTTTTAGATGCGCTTCTGATTGCAATCAACAGACTCATCGACTCAGTGAACAATGCCAACAAAGTTTTGGCGCGTCAAGATGATACCATCAACAGCTTGAAGAGGATCATCGAGGAATGCGAGTTGTGCAAGCAACGTCCTCCATCCATTCAGCAAAGGCCCACATGCGAGACGCATCCACCGAACTGCTTCCCCAGGGTGCAATGCCACGACACCAGTTCCGGTCCAAGATGCGGAAGCTGCCCAAGAGGATACATCGGTGATGGACACACCTGCACACCTGGACGTACGTGCGCCGAACGACCTTGCTTCCACGGCGTTCAGTGTCAGGACACCGCGCAGGGCTACAGATGTGGCCCATGTCCATCAGGATACGAAGGAAACGGAGAGCAGTGCGTTCCTCGCAGATCCAGATGCGATTACAACCCTTGCCATCCCGGTGAGTTAAACATCAAACATTAAGAGCAGTAACGATTCCCAACTCACCACCCGAGTGAAAATTTAGAGTAAAATGCCATGTATTAGAATGATCACTGTACCTGTACATAGTATACACCGTTACCACTAAAATCCGCATCCACTATACACTGCACTATGTCAATACGATATTCTCATTATGTTTTATCTTCAGCGTTCTGTATTCCAGACCATAGACGTTGTTTAAATGGCTCTACCTAAAACAAAAGGCTCATAACAATATTACATTAACAATAATAGCTATGTTTAGTATACACAGATCACACAAGGGGGTGGTTTACCGAATTAAATAAATGTAAAATAGTTAATATTTAAAGAAAACATCTCATGCATATTTTAGTGCTTGTTTTTATTCTTTGGTTCTATTTTTCGGTTCAAAATTTGATAACTATAATGCAAATTATAGTTAAACGAGTCTAATTTTTCTTATATAATTTAGTACTTCTTTTAGGACTTTCAGTCTTATAGTAAAGTATTTCATGTTTAACTGCCGGAATACAACGTAAGTTGATTACCATGGTGACAATAGTGGTCCAACCTAGGAGCTCGTACAAATTCGATAATCCTCCCCTAAACATCGCGCGCACGTTATACATGTTATTTAGATATATTTATAAATATACATTTATATTAATAATACTATTAACATTGAATTTTTGTATTCTGTATCGATGATATTAATATATGAATGTTTCGTTTAACTTGTGCTCGTTTTATTTCCCGCTCCTCCCGTGACGTTCGATGTACATGACATTTTTTTTTCGAAGCGAATTAATTGATCGATTGGGAATAATTGTGTGAGGTTTTTAGGCGTGAGATGCAACCCCCTGGACGCTCCTCCATATTACAGGTGCGACGGTTGTCCAGAAGGTTTCACAGGAAACGGAAGCACCTGCTACGACATCGATGAAGTAAGAAGTTCTTCGATTCAACAATTCTGCAAATCTAAGAGCGTCGTTTTCTTTCATAACGTTTCAGTGCGACTTAGCTCGTCCATGCCATCCGAACGTGGAATGCCAAAACCTCTCACCCGGATACAGATGCAGCTCGTGTCCCGAGGGATTCACCGGCACCGATTCGCACGGCGTGGGATTAGAAGAGGCTGTCAGAAATAGGCAGAGATGTTACGATATAGACGAATGCGCTCACCACAACGGCGGCTGCGTCGAGAACTCCCAGTGCAGGAATACTGAAGGTTCCTTCTCCTGCGGTCCTTGCAATCCCGGTTACGTTGGAAACCAGACAAGGGGATGCCATAAGGGTGAAGGTTACTGTCCGGACGGCACGCACTGCGACCGCATGGCCCAGTGTTTCCACATCGGTAACGGCAGATATTCCTGCAAATGCAAGGTGGGCTGGGCAGGAGACGGTTCGTTGTGCGGCAGAGACAGAGATCTCGATGGATGGCCTGACGTAGATTTAGGATGTTCGCACATCAAATGCAGACAAGTAATTCGTAGACTAAGAGACTTGAAAAATCGTATAATCTAAACACATTCGATTTCAACTTTTCAGGACAACTGCCCAAACATCCCGAATTCGGGACAAGAGGATGCCGATAACGATGGTAAAGGAGACGCGTGCGACGAAGACGCCGACGATGACGGCGTGCTCAATAATCCCGTAAGATGCTATTGGACATATTGCTATTACAATTAAAATATGAATGACATCGACGAATTTAACATTTTCACTTAATCTAGCGTAGTATTATTGTTCATCTGTAGTACAAACCATATTTGTTAACGTACAATGTAATCGATTATTATTTCTATTTATATACACTTACATATATAATATTATAGTTCAAGTTCAATAAAACGTGTAAAACGAGTGAAAAACGACGTGGACACGATTTCCTTTCTTTCTAATAGAAATTATTGATTCTGACCTGAGAAGAACTAATTAAAAGGAAATTGGAAAGTAAGTCAGTAAATGTCGTCAATCTGTTGTTGTCCAGTAGATGTCTATATGTACACTAAATTAGCTCTGCTTTAAACTAACGCCGATGTTGCTTTCGAAGAAGTGGATATTTTAACATAAGCGATGCGTATTTCTTAGGACAATTGCCCTTACGTGTTCAACCCGGATCAGAAGGACTCGGACGAAGGTGGTGGTGATCAGCAGGGCGATGCTTGCGACAATTGCCCCATGATTCCTAACTTGAACCAAGACGATTTGGATAAGGATGGTATTGGAGACGCCTGCGACGACGATATGGATGATGATGGTATTCCAAACGACCGAGACAATTGCCCGAGGAAGGCCAACAGCGACCAAAAGGACTCGGACGGAGATGGTCTGGGAGATGTCTGCGATAACTGTCCCAAAGCCCACAATCCAAATCAGCTCGATTCCAACAACAATCTAGTTGGAGACGTCTGCGATCGAGCCTCGGACATAGATCAGTAAATATAAATCATCGTCCTGTACATATTCGTAAATCGTTAATAAAATTTGATTACAGTGATGGCATCGGAGACCATATGGATAATTGCCGAAGAGTGGCGAACAGCGATCAGTTGGACACGGACGGAGATGGTAAAGGAGACGCGTGCGACACGGACGCCGACAACGATGGAATATTGAACGTTAACGATAACTGTCCGTTGGCTTACAATCCGCGCCAGGAGGACGCTAATCGTAAGTATTTTTGTATATTTAAAGCAACAAGCATTAAATAAACTATAACTGCAGAAAACGGAGTTGGAGATCTTTGCGAGAGCGATTGGGATCAAGACTCCGTCCCGAATGAATTGGACAATTGTCCGAACAACTCGAAGATTTACGCAACGGATTTCAGCACATATCAAACGGTTGTGTTGGATCCAGAAGGTGAATCGCAGATCGATCCTAACTGGGTGATCTACAATAAAGGAGCGGAGATCGTGCAGACAATGAACAGTGACCCTGGACTTGCCGTTGGTTACGATTCTTTCGGTGGTGTTGACTTCGAGGGAACGTTTTTCGTGGACACCGAAGTCGACGATGATTACGTCGGTTTCATCTTCAGGTAACAATAAAAACTCTCTTAAAATTACATCAAATCTAACATGTTCTGATGGTTTCAGTTACCAGAACAATAGGAAGTTCTACACTGTGATGTGGAAGAAGAACTCACAGACGTATTGGCAGGCGACGCCGTTCCGCGCCGTAGCAGAGCCTGGAATCCAATTGAAACTTGTAGATTCGGTCACTGGTCCTGGTCAACTGATGAGGAATTCCTTGTGGCATACCGGAGATACCGAGAATCAGGTGAAACTCTTGTGGAAGGATCCGAGAAATGTCGGATGGAAGGAGCGCACCGCTTACAGGTGGATGCTCCTGCACAGACCCAAGATCGGTTTGATCAGGTTGAGGATCTTCGAAGGTGAAGAGGTGGTTGCCGATTCAGGAAACATTTTCGATTCCACCCTCAAAGGTGGAAGGCTCGGCGTCTTCTGCTTCTCCCAAGAGATGATCATCTGGTCCGATCTGGTTTACAAATGCAGCGGTAATAACATAATTAAATTTTATAAATAATTAATTACAAAAAAAAACATTCAACAATTATTTCAGACGACGTTCCATACGTGATTTACAAGGATCTTCCGGAGAAGCTCAAGAAGAACGTCCACGTGGATTACAACACAAGGAATTGATACGCGCTCATCGACTAGTAATAATATACCAAAACTGCGAGTGCCAACTTCGATGAAAACTTTTACCAACGATTTATCTAGTTTCATTATATTTACTATCCTCATTGTAAAATATTATTTTGTATACGTATATATAGTATAGTTTATATTTGCAATTATTTCTATTTGTCTGTTCTTGTTTGTACTTACATAATTTTAATATAATGTTTATAATTTTATTCTAAAAAGTAATAAAGATTTATATATTAATCTCATCGTTTCATTACCATTACATATCTACATGTTATTGTTAGAAAAAGAAGGTAAACGGCAAATCGAGTAAAACAAACAAAATGTGCATTGTAAATTAAATTTATTTAAAAAAACGATCATAGCTAACAATATTATTTAAACTAATCCAATAAAATCTGCGCAACAGACTTTAAATATTTTCACAATTTAAACTCTCAAATCAATGAAATAAAAATAACAACTAAAATAATTAGAAACTTGGATCAGAGGCAGTTTATTGTCTTTAAAACTATTAGAAGACAAACAAAATAATAATAATAAAAATAAACAAAATAACAACTGGGTGAAAAAATTAACAAATATCGTTAATTATTAAAAACAATAAACAATGGCACATTTTTCTAGAAGACCCATTATACATTAATTAAAATTAGTTTCTCTTATATCTTTCTGTTTTTTTTTTATATTAATTAGTAGCATGCTTCTTAAACGGTATACGGAATACTGATTTATTTAATTAGACATCGATTCTACCGCTACTTCTCTAAAATACAATACAATTCGTATTATATGATATTTTCTTATTAATTATTGTTATAAGATACATACTGAGAATTCACATCTAATATCAATCTAGTTATCGGAATAAATGCTTTTCATCATTTACCATAATTTTCGATATAGATCGATGAGTATAATTCGGTGAGTTTAACGTAAATACCTAGAAGCTCGATTGTTTTTTTTTTGTAAATATATATTTAGTTATCAAACAAAATTTATTGTCACAATTTAGCAACTAGTCATGTTTAACTTACAATTATTAACTAGCTCTTCTCGTTTATGGTAATTATGTTACGAAGACACCGACATTTATTATTAGATTCGAAACAGCTACAAAAAGAAATATATATATGTGTGTATGTATGTATGGAATTTCAACGAATATCATTTGAACAAATCAAGAAAATCTATGAAAGGAAAACAATGAAAATAAATTGCTGCTATGGTAACGAGATGTTGGTGAATTGTCAAAATGCGGGAACAGAATTCTAAAAGTAATTCGAGTTAAAAATAGCCGTGCCTTCAAGAGGGAGACGGGTTGCAACTAAAGTAAGTAACTCAAGATTACTTAACTTATGTATATATATATATATATATTACACTAATATTAATCGTAAAAACAATTATTTCCATTTACTGTATATATATATAATATATATATTACACATTGTCTAATCGTACATGCACAAATTAAATCGGTGATTAGCTTTGTTGAAACACAAATGGCGTATTACGTCATTGACAGATGTCAAACCAAGATTGAACAGAATTTGATTTCGAGACTTTTATTCGAATGATTTTCTTTCATCCTTCATATGCGATTTGATAAGAGTAGGAGAAAATCGTCCGAATGATCACGTCCGTATTGTTTGGCAGTTGCTTTCTATACGAAATCATCTCGCTAATAATAAATTATGTAAAAATAAAAATATATAATATTTCAGTTTCTTTTGTCCTTCCTTCCTCTGTTCGCGTTGTCCATTCGTTTTTTTTTTTTTATAATGAGTGAGTGAATCCTTTAAATTCGAGTGTCCTTTGCGATTTCGACGAGCTCGTGAGGATCTGCGTTGTTCTTGTCGTTGTCGTCGTATTTGCCAAGCTCTCCTTTGCTCAGCATATCAACCAATCGGGCACCCAGGGAGTCGCACATCACGTTGATGGTCGTACGGAAGCGATCGCTAAAAGCGAGAGAATTCATCAGATCGTGAAACGATAGGGTTTTTAATTAAATCGAACGATTCTCAATTAGATTCAGGAATGAACAAGAGTCCTTTCGGCTTTGTCGGAATCGATCATCGGTCCGTCCGCTCGACGGCCGAAACAATGGTACTTACAGCAGCCAATCGACGGCTAGGATCAGGGTGACATCTTCGGCTGGTAGACCCACGGTATCCAATACCATTACCATGGTTACGAGACCGGCTTGCGGAATGCCGGCTGCACCTATACTAGCCGCTGTTGCGGTTATGCTGGAAATACAATACAATAATTTATTATATTTAAAGTTTGTTCATTATTAACTTATTATAAATCTAAAAAATCTGTCTGAAAATAGTTGCTACATTTTAATTTCTCGTCCAGATTATTGGATTTAATTAATTTCTCTTAACATGTTTATCAGATTTTTTTATGAATATAAGTATGCGATATCCAAACTTTGTTTAAATTCGTTGCGCTTTTGTTTTACGCTGCTGTTGCATCAGAGATAATCTTACATGCTTAATTATTTAACTGCTGTAACATAACTAAAACTTTAAAATACCAAGAAAACAACCAGCAAAATGTCAAAGACTCAAACGAGGCTACTGAGAAGTTTTGCTGTTCTCGGTGCATAATTTCAAAATTGTGGTAACACATTAAAGTGTGTAAAATTAACAATGTGATGATTATCGTTGATTCTCGTAAAAAGAAGTGTGGTTGTAAGCCAAAAGATTAAAGCCAACATATTCATAACATTTACAAAATTCCCTTCCGCAAAAGAAGCACATTAAGATCAATGACACATGAATCCATTCCTAAAAGTTACATTATACGGCAGATCGAAAAAAGGAAAAGAAATTAAGATAGTTATAAGTGTCGTAAATCGTTGTTGACCCATGTGACTTCTATATAATGTGATGTTATTTTTTTTCAAAATAAAGTTTAAAATATGTTAAACTGTTGTATCTATGATTTATCTATGTTTCCTCTTTGAATTCATTACTGAATACATTTTTATTCAGTAATTCTTCATTTCTCCGGACAAAAATCGCAGTGAAAAAATATAGCAACTATTTTCGGACAGAGGAAATACAATTTAAAATAAAATTACATAATTATTAATATTTTATAACTTAAAAAGATGGAAGAGTTGGTTTCGTTGTATGGTGGTAAAAAGGAAAGCGTCAAGTGGTATTCGCGCTATTCAAGGATTCAAAGCCGCTTACGACACGATCTGTATCGGAATTTTCATGATGTGCGGTAAAATAGGATGTGCAAATAAGAGACTCGTTAGAAATACGCACTAGATCGAATAATTGCATGGTACTTGAAAGGATTATTAATTTATATATTGATTATAGTTATAATCTATATACTGCTATAGTGAGAATGCTTTACCTGACAGCAACGACTTGTCCGAAGCTAAGTGGAATCGATCTGAATTGAGCGATGAAAATTGCAGCGATGGCTTCGTACAGAGCAGTTCCATCCATGTTTATAGTTGCTCCGACTGGGATCACAAACCTGGTGACCCTCGGGTCGACTCCCATCCTGTCTAGTGTTTGGATGGTGATAGGCATCGTTGCAGAACTGCGACGTAATCAAATAAAATAGTAATTTTATATATTGAGTTTTGGTTTGATGGAAATCATCACCTGGAAGCTGTTCCGAAGGCTGTGACCAGGACCTGACTGAGTTTGCCGATGGTCTTGAAGGGCAGAGTTCGCGTACAAATGAAATAGATCACGGAGAGAGTACCGAAGCCGTGCAGGAATAATCCCAACATCACCGTCATAAAGTACATACCGAGGCGACCAACCAATTCCCCGAAACTCTCGGTTTCCATCACCTTAGCGGAAACCAGGAAGAACACACCGAGCGGAGAGATCCTGAACGATAAAGATACCTTAATTAAGATATTTAAATTCGATGATTGAAAGGTCCTTAGTACCAAATAACCCAACTGGTGATGATCATCATGGCCTCGCTCAAAGTCTCGAAGAACACCAGCAGCGGCTTTCCCTTCTCACCCATCGTTCCCAAACTTATACCCATGACCACACCGAAGACCACCATACCTAAAACGTTCGTTGTCCCTTCGTATGACTCATAGAATTTCCATTGCTCCAAAGGAACTAAAAATGCGAGAAAAATATAATTAATACACAAAAATTACAAGCGGTTATTCAACTCACTGCCTGTTGCATTTTCGGGCATCACCAACTTGGTCTGAGTCTGCAAAGAGAAAAAAAATGAAAGATCGAAATAACAGTGAAAGTGATATATTTTTGTACGCTTGTAAATTGATCGCATCACTCTATCTTCCATTCGAAGGGTCGAGTCGATCTCAATTCCATTAGAGCCGTTTCCCAACTTCCAATAGTTTTACTTTATTTACTAGACGAGACTAGAGAGTTGATCAATTAACGTCGCCTCTAATTTAATCGTTCCACACGCAACTTGTTTATTTACCACGCACTGTCATTAATTACGTCCACTCTCAGTCGACGTTGCATGCTCATTTGCAATTCCACATACTATTTGTACAGCAATATCTAATTATTGACCATTGTCAATTTGATATTGTTGTAGACGCATATATTCGAAATTTGTAATTTACTTCAACAGTATTAATTATCTGCACATCAAATTATTCCACATACAAATCAATAGTCAAATTCTACTGAAACACATATTCATAGATCTCAATAGTTATAAATTCAAATTGAATGTGACAATCAGCAATCAATTCTTCAACATTAATTTTGTATGAAAATATATTAATTTATTATAACTTTCGTACAATAAAAATATAACAAAAATGGAATTTAAATAGCTGCAATATTTAAACTGATTGCATAACTCTTCACATATTCTTAATGAATAAAAGTAATTTAAATTACTGATTAAGTTCATAAACATATTGATTTATAACTCGAGTAGTTAAAATTCAATGAAAATTCATACTTTCTTATAATCACAAAACATTTATTAAATTCATAAGTGAATCAATAAGCTTCAAAGTTTTGAACTTTTTCGATATTCTCAGCGAGATATGTAATGTAGGTTGCCGAACTCTAAACTCAATTTTCATTCGTTTTGTAGAAGTTATTAAATGTTCGATATATTTATAAATTTAAGTAATAATTCAAAAAATATGCTTATTTTATGATTATGTGAATTTGTATGCAATTAATAATGTAAGTGATAACGTCAAATTTCGATATTTTTAGGAATTTAAGCAATAATTGAAATTATTTCTTTTACTAACAATATGTGAGTTTTCATAGATTTTTGTACTTCTTGAGTTAAATATTGTAGCTCAATATCTATAATTTAAAGATTTAAATAATTATTTCAATGAACATACGAGATAATCAAATTACTTTTTTTTATTAAGAATGTGTGGAGTTTCTTGAAATTGGAATTACTTGCACTGCAGTACTTCAATAAAAAAATATTTCAAAATTGTATAAGACTTACACTTTTTTTTAATTATAAATATGTGAAGTTTTATAAAACAGTAATTTTCTGGATATTTCGCGTCTCGACTTATTTTCTATTATTAACATTGAAACTTCTTTGTGGATTGCAGTGAGAGAGACACGTGGGAGTGAGCGAAAGCTTTCAGAAGAGTTCGGATGGTTTGCATTACATCGAATGCAAAAAAATTCCATGGAAATCCGTCGAGGGATTACAGCGAGCGAAACTTTTTAATACAAATTGCAAGGGAATTACGATGCGCGGCAAAAGGGAAGAGAAGAATCCGAGCGTTCGGGTTAGGAATGTGAAGAGAGGAGATCCAGCACGAAGCATCCTGCAAATGATCATTTCATACGCGTCGCGAGAGGATGCAAGCAGCAATGGAGCTTCCTGCAATTACTGTTATTGAATTCACTCCTCCTGCGATGATTTTCACCTCTTCTCTCCAGATATTCTTGAAATGATTTGATATACCCACGCAAAATATATGTGTCGACCTTTTACACGTCATCATCAATGTTCCTTCTATCGAGTGGAAAGAAAATTTCCGAGCATATATTTCCGAATATATAAATTGGTTTATCTTGCAAATTTTCCATTCAATCCACACTAACTTATATTTTGATTTCTACGTTCAATATAAACTGTTTTGAATATTTAGGAAATATTGAATACAATTTATGTAATTTCATTTTCAAAAACACGGATTGAATTACAAAGCACACTTGTTAGATGTCTCGCATTATCGATTCGTAGCAGGGGACGCACATCCTCGTCCTGCTGCGATCCTGGTGCGGCTTGTTTTGTATTTAAACAGCAAATCCGTACAGGAAAAAAAAGTTATGCATCGACCAGAGCAAAAAAAAAGTCCTCCCTCCGTCGTCCTTCATCAAACACCCACGCAACTTAAAAGAACTGCAAGGTATTCAAGGTAATAAATCAACGTTACCTGGGCGATTGTGGCCTGTACCAGATTCGGTGGGAACAGGTTTCTGCAAAACAAAAAGAAAGAAAAATTAAATAATCAGATAATAACAATGCTACATATACAATTCAGTTGCATAATGTGAACGTGCATAAACTTGTTTATTATTTTCAAAGACAAAATATGTTTAACATATCAAGCAATCAAATCATGTTTTAGTCGTTAAAAATAATTATACTTTTAACAGTTAATTCAATAGAAACGGACAAAAAATCAAGTTATGAATGAACTATTTTTATATAATATTTATTTGATGCACTTCTTTTTTTCTCCAAAGTAAAATATTAAGTAATTTCAGTTAATTTCTACAAATTAAGCAATCAAATCATGTTTGATTAATATAGAAATTAATGATAATCATTATGAAAATGTATTCCGAACTGAATTATTTATAGTAAACGTGAGCAGTAGTGAAAAGAGGAATCAGAGTCATGATTTTTTTTAAGGTCGCTTCTAATTACAGAACTTGCTAATTGGAACTAATTAGAAGATGAGCAATGCACGTTAATTAATGTGAGGTGCACAAACGCATGTAACTGAATCGTCGATCGATGCGATTCAAGAGTAAATATAATGCAAGCATTATTCGATATCCAGGCTTTCCATCCGTTAATTAATAATCCGGTTCGTATATGTCGATGTGGAGAGTGTATTTGAGGCAGCACTGAAATTGCAACTTCAATAATTCCTGCGGTTTTCCAACTGCACTCGCATCGAAATTAATTAATATCCTGTATCAGATATTGACTGTTTTTAGCACGGTTTTCCATCACGTTCCAATTTCATGAAGTTGTCAGGTAACAAGTCTATTCCTTCTTTTGAATGCGTATAACATTCGTGATTGGCACTTACAAAATAAGGTCGTTTCTTTTAATAAAAACTATATTTTTCTGATCCATATTCAATTAACCCAATTGATATTAAATATTCTTTTGTTTTTATTCAACTTTAAGTGCGTACAAGGAATGATCGAATACAACGATTTACAATGGTTTCTTCAATCAATTTCATCGCAAATTAGCTTTTGCTCGCATTCCAACCTTGATTTAATCGATTCTCCACTTGAATTAGATTGTTCAATTAACAAAGATTATTTAATTCAAACCAATGTTGATTGTTATTGCACTAAACAAAGTTTAATTATTGAAATAGTATGAAACAACAACATTGATTATATACAAGTTAATTTTATGAATGGTTGAATTTGTACATCATCTTTTAATACATAATTCAACTAATGACTCGAATTTGTATTCCATCAATGAATTTGATTAAAGTTATTTGATTGAGTTATTAACGAGGAAATCCGTGCAGAATTTGAATGAAAGCTTCTTGTGGAATGTGCGTAACAGATTGATTACATCATAGACAATTTATTGTAATATTTTTAGGAAGAAACCAAATATTGATGATTTCTTTGAAAAGAGTTTTCAGTTTGCTAGTCTGGTTGAAATTGGCGAACATCTGCATCGTGCAGCAGCCAAAATCCATTAGCTTCTAACAGAGGCTTTTCGAAATTTACGTCGATATTTATCTGAGCAATATTTTCATCTTTTTTATGACGTTATGTTTTGTCTGAAAACGAAAAACTTATTTTCGTATGCTTTTTATTTGAAGTTTTTCTTTTATAAATAGTTTATTACATATTGATATTCTTAGATTGTCTGACTTATTATTAGCTTAATTATTTAATTAGTTAATGTTATTGTGTGATCTTATGAATAGTAAGTAGTATTAGTTATTATTTATGTTAATGATGTCTAATTGATTATGAATATTAAACTAGTGTAGTTTATACTATAAATAAAATGTTATTATGAATGAGCTCAAGCATTTCCTCTGGGAGATAGTGGAAATATAACAGATTTTAGATGATGTTCGTGTCTATCTTTCACATTCGAAGTTCGTCATATGAATGGGAACGCAGTGGATTCTGATAGACGTGAACGTGTGTGTAGTATGGATGTACGGAGTGTGAATACGGGCAGTAGCAGGACATAGCTTATTGTAGCAGGAAATTTTGATGTAGATGCTAATGATCTCATGTCGCGGTATATCCGGGCCCATTGCGAGACAGAGTGACTGAGCACAAAACGTTCGTCACGCATGGATGTATAAACGTGTTACGAACATTCACATCAATCTCTGTACATCAATTGATGTACTAGAAAAAAAAAACAATATGCTAAAACTCATCTCATTTCGAATGCGAATTTATGTCTACCACGGCTAGAATTCCAATCACTACGTATTACGCATCGAATATTTCATTCATAAATACAATTAAATATGCTTAATGACATTGAAACTACAACAACCAATTTAGTCAGAAATTTAGTTAGAGATTTTGCGCTTTTTTGCATTTTTATTTAGAACTATAATAAATGAATATGATATACTTTTACAAAACTTAAGTCAAATGGTCCAATAAAAATTAGTTAATAAATAAATACAGTGGAACCTCGCTTAACGAGTTTAATCCGTTCCAAAATTTCCGGATTTTTACCCGTATAGTGAAACATTTTCAAAAATACACATAATATGTGTACACAAGTTTTAAAAATGATGTAGCAGGCGCGCAATCCGCGTCTTCTCTTCTCATCGTCACTCGTTATGCGAAATTTCGCTCGTTAAGCGAGTCATTTTTTCTTACAATTAATTTTGTTCGTTAACCGAAATGCTCGTTATGTGAGTTACTCGTTAAGCGAGGTTCCACTGTATACCAAAATCAGATTTATTGATACATGAAAATATTGATTAATTCATTTTTATGATGAATTGTTAATAATAATGTTAAATATTGGAATTAATTAGTATTTATTACAGCAATACCTCGCATAGTCCGCTTTCGATCAATCCGGATTCATTATAGTTCGATTTACAAAATTTCAAAAGAAACTAAATTAGAATTGAGCAAATTCTAAACAGAGTCTAAATGCATACAAGTTGCAGCTTTAAAGTTCTCGTTTAGTCCAGATTCAAATAATCCGAGATATTGGTGGAAACAATTACTCGCACTATGCGAGGTATTGCTGTACAAACTTTATAGTATAACTTTACTTAATAAATTGAATGGATGATAGGAAGATTGTTTTATTTGATTGTTTCAGTTAAAATTGCAGAAAAGATTATCTTTCATATTAATAAATGATTCATCGTCAATCGTTTAATCTACTTCAGTACTAATTATAATGTTATATAAATATTTTCTCTTTGTCTTTAAAAATGTACCTCGTATAGTGCGGGTAATCGATTCGTTCAATATACAGGAATAGTTGTAACCGGACTAATTGAGAAACTTGATACTATAGACGAAAAGTACTGAACGGTCGTACTGAATGATTTATGTATAATGTAATATATTTGTGTACAATTTTTGTAGAATTTATTTGTATTTACTCACAGCAGACTATCGTGAATTCGTACTGATAGAAGCCGTACTGTGTGAGGTATTCCTGTACAGTGGAACCTCGTTTAATTAGCACCTCGCATAACGAGAATTTCGCTTAACGAGCAAAATAAATAGTGAGAAAAATGACTCGTAAAATGAAATGCATTATCGTATATTATATTAGATTAGATGGGGAAAATTGTTTTACTATACGAGTAAAAATCCGGAAATTTTGCTCGTTAAGCGATGTTCCCCTGTATTTAGGATTTAATCCATATTTTTATTAAATATTTATGTATTTTACCGAAGTCTTTCTTTCAAATTATAAGTAAATATTTGTTTTATTATAAATATTTTCAATAATTCACAACATCTGTAAACATTTGAATGATTATTTTAATTGAAACTAGTTTTATATATATAAGGAATATTAACGATTTTAATCTTTATGCATGAGGCTGCAACTATATATTTCAGTTCTTAAGTTATAATAATTTAACGTGTAAAATCATAATTCTATCAGATTTCATTGATAATCTTATCGTTTTAGGCTACAAAGTATAGTTTATCTTACCGGATCAAGTCTAGCAGGGTGTCCTGTGTGAGGACGTGCCGAGCGGTCTGCCTGGAAACACTGACCACATCCTTGTAATCAGCAGCTGCGCTGGTTCCGGGACGAATCGTGACGACAAGGATGATGCCCAGGATAACGGCACACACCGTCGTTGTCGCGTAAAACAAGATGGACCGCATTGCGATTTTCTTGGAGAGGCTCAGATCTAACGACCCTATGGCGCCGATCACCGAAGACACCAGCAACGGGATGATCAAGGCCTTTAGCATCCGCAGGAAAATGTCTCCAGGAAATTGAAGGTACATCACCTGACGCGGCGTCCATTTCTCCTCCTGCGTCGACCGCAGGATGCATCCCAGGAGCGTGCCTCCGAGCACACCGCACACCGTCAATATCGTCAGCAGGTTTGACCTGAGGAAGGACTCCTTGTGGCGCGGCATCTTTATTATCTAATCTGCAAACAAAAAAGTTTAAAATTATACACAATTGCAATACTAAAGTACTTTGAAAATTGAAATTTGTTTTGATTATAAACGTGGATTTGGCGACCAACGTGGGGCAACAATTCCAACATAATTTGCAATATTAATTGAAAATATTTCGTTTCAATCATTGCTCGTATGTTTTAGATAAACGTTGCTGTCTTTAATAGATTAAAACAACAGAAATAATACGTTAATAATTTAGTAAGCCAAATTTTGGTTATAAGCCACTTATATAAAAATAATCAAATATTACAAGAAAATGGAATTATTTGTTTTTGTTGGAAGTATGAAAAAGTTAGTAATGCATAAATATATAAGAAACTATTAATAAATTTAATGAAACAGGTAGCTTATTCACTGTATTTAAATACTAATTGTAGTATTAACAACATAAATAAATGTTAGTACAATGCTGGAGACAATTTGCATTCGCGCGTGCCGCGAAATAATATCTATTATCTGCACAACAGCTTCATCAATATTGAAAACGTCTCGATGTTACGTAAAGCGAATGCATTTACCCAGCACCTCTGCGGAGGCTCATTGAGATGTACTTGTAAGTAAGAGCAAGCAGGAGCGAGCACGTACGTATCGTGATTATAGTTAAAACGAGTTTTGTTTTCGGTTTATCGTTATTGCGTAATATGTAAAGTGCCACCTTTTTTTTATTCTCTTTCACATTAGTTTATTTGCAGCCGCCGTTAGGTTTCTCAGAATATATAAATATTTTTTATTTATTGACGTAAACATAAATAGAAGATTAGTTGTGATTTTCGCCTAAAAGTTATTTAAGTTTGTTACAATTTTTATTTGAATCCGCATCGACGATAAGGAACTTTAGGTGTGCGAAATGCGAATATGGTAGGCGTATCTGCAAATATTGACTTTGATTACAACATTTTCCCCCTCAGATGTTCAAATCTGCGTGACTATCTTCGCTATTTCGATAATATTTATTGATTCCGGGATTATTATTTTTTAATGTTTTAGTAAACGTTCACATCGAATCATAGCATTAATTTTGAACTTTCTATAATTTGTAGTAACAACTTTCGAAATCATTATTTTTTGCTGTAATTGAATTAGATTTAGATTTAATTTATTACTAACATCAAAAGATACTTGATTATTATCTGCATAAGTAAATAGTAAATATTATTTACGTTGAGAAAGAAAATGCGCTTATAAGTCAAAATATAAATGATGTAATCTCGTCAAGTTATTATTATCAAAAATATTATTCTCTATTTCATATGTGATTGAAATTTTATACATTAATTACGCTTAAAACTAAGTATATATAATTAAACAAATTAACATGTATTGCGTAGTTTGTTTTAGTTTTCCAATTATATTTGATGGATGAGAGACTAAAGAAAATAGCAATGTAGTAGTGGATGGATGTGGGACATCATCAAGGTCGATTCACTTTTCCATTTCAGCTAATTTGTCCGTTAATACATATTTTGCAGTTAATCTGGTCGTCGCTGCCTTGGTTCGTGCAGGAAAGTGTTGATTCAAATTGCGATCAGCCCAAGTTGATGGAGTAATAAGTACATGTGTGTGTAACCCATGTATGCGGGTCTTGAGTGCAGGAAACCATTAAATCCAATAAAATTACATAAATAGGAGTTAGGACCATTCAGGTCCGAGAAACAATAAACGTCTGCGACCTATAAATAGAGCCGCAGGATTTCGCAGGAATCTGTCATTAGGCTGCCAAAAATCAGGTCGAAAATACGGAATGCGAAAAATTCCGACTATTCAGGTTACCGGCCGGAAATACGCGCAGTTTATAAAAAGACACGATTTCAAATGGTTTTTTGATAAAACGAAGAAAACAAAAAAAAAACGTAAAGTTGAAATGCTGCACATTGGGAAATCGCAACATTGTTTTATTTTTTGTTGTTAATGGTAATGCGAGATCCATTGCGTAATGAATCCGCTGATTTCCAAGAAGTTAATTGAGCCATCCTCGCTGCTTAGATTTGTCTTTCTCGGTGGTTTCGTCTCTTTTAAAAATAGAAGCGCGCGCATTTCCACGTCTACTTTAAATAACTCCTTCGTTTCGACCATGTCCAATCTCTATTTATACATCCCTAGGTGGTACAAAGCGACATCTTCGCAACCTAACACCGAGAGGACCACGCGCGCATTCTTCGAAGATCAACAAAAAAAGAGAGAAGCCAAATGACCTTTACCGCTTAAGAAACGATCCGATTCTCCTCCTCCTCCTCATCGTTGCTTCTCTTTCTCGTTTCAAGTCGCATGCAAATTTCCAATAACAACAACGAATTTACAATTCAAGCATATCAAATTGTTGTTGCGCGCATTGATTTATGAAAAGCTATGTGCATAATTAAGTGTTCCTTATTGCGTTTAAATAACGCGATTTATACGCGGACCGGTTTCTGTTTTTTTTTTGCATTTCGTTCCTGAATTTTGATATCCATTCATTCACACAATCGCATAATATACATACCGCCTTACATTCCATTTATTTTCAACGTGCAATTATTTAAGGACAAATAAAACTTCATGTTGAAAAAACTTAATATATAAAAAAAATACATTAAATAAATTAAAATTAAGTTAAAATCCAAACAATTTACTAATAAAAGAAAAATATACATTAATAAGTTACAGATCATTAAGAAATATGCAATAAATCAATACAAATTTAGCGTTTATTAACAAAATTTACACATATTGAATTTATTTAATAAGAAAAACTCTGAAACATCAAAACACAGTTTATATTTTGTATTTAATACAAAATTATTTATAAATCAATAGAAAATGTAATAATATAGTAAATAACATTGCTTCTAAAGTGCAAATAAATTTATATATCTTAAATCATTTTGTACAAAAACGAACTATAAGAAATTTAAAAAAAAGTGTTAAAATTTTAAATTTATCTTAGTCTTAATTATGAATAAAATAAATAAATAAATTCATTTTTATAAATAATAAAGATCTAAATCTAAATAATTGTATTGATAATAAAATAGTGGATAAATGAATCATATTGATTTTGAATAATTAAAAATTTAGGATATAAAATATCCGCATGTTTATATATTTTTTTACTTTTCGAATGTTAGGGTTGTTAGCCTTGAATAGGGTCGATGCCCATGATGGAATTAAATTAGTAAAGTAGAATTAGTAACAAGTCTATGTTAGCAAAATTTCTTAATATAATATCAAATTATGTTTAAATTTATATTGTAATTAAAAATTTAGCTTATCTTACTTAATGATTAATATATTTAGTTTTTCAATAAGGTATTGAAAATATTGAAGGAAAATTGGTATAAATTTGGACGCAGGAATAAGAGAAAAGAAAGTATTAATAGTGTTAATTGTTTGCATTAGCGCTGTTTGCGCAAACAATTTGTACAATATTTCATCTTTTTCTTTTCCAATTCGGTAATTTGTTGTGCGCGTTCGCTCCTCTTTTTATTTGTGATGTTTGTAAACACCGAGAACCGCGTGTTGTGCAACAGAAGTGTTAAATTAACGTCGCGTCCCGGAACAAGTTAAAAGTTTCAATTTGTTTTACGTTTGCGAATTGGCAAAAAAACTCACCCCTCTGTTCAACAGGTACACAACTAAGTGTGGAAGCCGTCTGCGGGTATCGAAAATTAGACACGAAACTGAACGGAAACGGAGGATTATTATCAGTCCTCTCAATTATTTTCTCTGTTTTTTTTTTTGTTGTTGTTGTACGTTTATTTTCGAAGGAAAAAGGATAACTAAATCCTTTTTGCTCTTGTTGCTGAATTCCTCGATGGACAGAAGACACTGTTGTGACTGAGTGTGGTATTTTACACGGCGACGCACGCGTTCCTGACGACGGTCACCCGCGAACTAAATCATGATTTCATGATCTCTCTCCACGCAATGTACCCAATTGTAGTCCCACCGGATCTCGCGAATATACGGACAGGGACGGACCTAGGGGGATGCTACTGAATTACAGCCAATTAACGGTCGCAATTAGCGACGAACGCTCCGCCCATTCGCCGTAATTTCGACAGTTTTTTTTTGCTGTATATTCGTTTTACATCATGGTTTTCGTTTTTTTTTATTGTTTGCTGTAATTCGAATCAATTACCATTCGTCCATCCTCCCAATACTTTATATCATCATATCCTTTCCTCAATTCCTTAATTAAACTGTTTTCGCACGCTTTTTGTATATTAATTTTCATTATTCAACATTCATTAATATATTTAGTATCATTTATTTCCTATTGAAATTGTTACATTATTTGTGTCTATAATGTTATATATTATTATACATAATGTATAGTTCAAGAACCGACAATTAATTAGATTCCAAGCACGAATTCTTCATATCGAATCATAATAAATAATGAATAAAATCAATCTTCGAAACTTCTCGAATTGTATAACAAAAAAAAAACGTTATATAATCAATATATTGCTTAAAATTCCATTCACGACTTACGTCGTCTGTATATTTTAACAATGAATGAAGGACGTGTTTAATATTTTCGCCAGTTAAAATTTGCAAATAAATAAACTATGTATTATTATTTAATAATGAATAATAATTTATTGATAAGTAGTTTGTTTTGTAGTGTGATATCAATTATATATTTTCCATTTTGTTCCATGACCTTTTGTCATCTTTATGACAACTTCATGATAAAACTGCTGGTACTTATCAGCAAAAACTGAACCAAGTGCGAAGACGATTCAACAATTCTATTCATCTTGTCTTTGATTGCTTTCTCTAGTTTCATTAGTAGTTGACAGTAAACAACTGAATTGTTCGTTTGGTTCCCTGTGATGGTTCATCATGCTTGAATCATGATCGTTTTCGATTGATGTGATTGTAGACAATCCATTTTTCATCACCAGTGATGATTTGTTTAAAACAAGTGATGATTTCTTCATTTCATTAAGATTGATATATGAAGATTCTAAATGAGTCCAAGACATTTAAGTGATATTCAGATGTTGTGTGTTTTAATGTATAACAATTATACAACGATTAGATTCAATTATAATATAATTTGGTCATCATAAAATTCAGGTTGGCCAGAATGTTGGTCATGTTTGAGTGAAAAATCTCCAAAACGGATTATAAACATCATACACTTCACATACATCCTTGTGAGCTTCAGCAGTTTTCTTGCCTTTACGGAAATAAAAAAAGTAAAATACATCGAAAATGTTCGCTTTTGCATTCTTGTTAAAATTGAGTATAAACTAACAGCTACAAACATAATTACGCGAAATTGGATTCTAAATGAAGCTAAAACTGAAATCTTTCAAATGACAAAAGGAAAAAAATCATGACATTGACAGATGTCTTTCAAAAGTAACTTTCTTGCCAACACAATATTATGCAATTAAAAAAAATAACATTTCAGAGCATTTATTTTGGTTTGTGCAGCTTTACGTATTTGATTATACATAATATAATAATATAAAAAAATTGTAGATGAATTTGCAATATTATTAATAGAGATGATATTACATAAACTATTTATACAATTTTTATAATATTCAAATTGTGCTTATTTTTAATTTGATTATTAGATTTGATTTTGTTCGACATTTGTGGAACAATTTACATGAGAAAGGCGCAACTTAATCTGTAACTGTTATTCCGCGTTCCGTATTTCAATCCAATTGGAAAGAAAGTAGTTCCATTAAATTAACAACGCACAGACACATACACAGATTTCGGTCAGACGCATTTGAACGATGCGAACACAAAAATTTAGAATTGAAAAATCTTATACATCGCACATGTTATTCTATTGCATTACCGCCATTTCTCGGTTCTTGTTGCCAAGATGTGCTGATGACGTTACAGAAAATCAAGGCCCAAAGATTCCTCGACCTCCGTCGATTTAACTCATGTACAACAACAACAATCGATTATTGTTATCCGTATTCGTATAATATAAGCGATATTCCAACTGCCAAGGTTATTACGCGGCTCACAGTAATAATTATTGTTAGTTAATAACGATATTCAGTATTATCGAAAAGCAATAAATCAAAAACAAAAATTGTATTATTTTTTGCGTAGATTTTTTGTTTTTTTTTTGCTCTCTCTACAGAAACGTCCTTGACTCGAATTTCTTATCGCTGAAAAAAAGATGTTATTGTGTCTATATTGCAAGATCTGAAAAAAAGGATTACAAAAGTACATCGATAAAGTAACTGTGACTGAATGTATTTACACATTAAATTGCAAGATAATGTAGGTCAGCTATTCTCAACATATTAGGTTGCGTTCATTTTTTATAGCTCGCGAAATGACAGCTGTCAACATGTGTCAAATCTGGTCGCTGTGCAACTACAAACAAATATGTTGGGTCTCGAAATGACAGCTGTCATCATGTGTCAAAGCTGGAGAAAAACTTTTAGCAATTGGGTCGATGCAAACAAATATGTTGGGTCGTGAAATCATAGATGTCACATTGTGTCAAAAGAGGAAATGGTGAAAAACTGTTGGGACGCTGTGCAACAACAACAAAAATATGATGGGTCGCGAAATGACAGCTGTCACCATGTCAAACGAGGAACTGGTGAACTACGAACTTGAGTCAAGCGACAAAAAGTTTTGGAAACTCTAATATAGATGATGATGACCTGGAAAATGAGGTAACAGAAACTAATTCGTTATTATATGCATGTCTATTTTAATTTGACCCAGTGATAATGACATCCGACATCCTACAAAGCGCGAACGCACGAACGACAGCAACGCCGAATGTTATATAATGTTACCCTTTCCCCGCTTCCAGATAGGGGGATTCATTGCTGCTGTTAGGAGTATCGCAACAGTCTAACGATGAAACTCGCAAATTAATCCTCTTGTCCAATTTACTCCGAGAATTTAATATAACATTACTTTTATAATTACTCAATTATTGTCTTACTTTTTTACCCATTCAGATAACTTTATTACTCGTAACGTAAATCAGACAAAGATATATAATGTTTAAAAAATGATTAAATTATATGCGTGGAAGTAAATTACATGTTAGATGTTTATGGAAATTTCCTTTTAAAAAGAAGGTCATGGATCTATGTAAATCAGTTTTTGTTTTGAAAATATAAACATAGTTTTATTAAAGCTATAGTGAATTACGTTGATGTTTCCTTATAATTATAAATTGGTTATAAATAATAATTAAATTTCTTTAAATATTTAACTATGCATTTAGTTCAATATTGCAAAACATTTTAATTTTATCTAAAACCTTGCATTTATAAATTACGTCAATGTTGCTATCTTATTTATAATATGTACATAGTTGATAGTTATTATCGTTGGAATTTTTGTTATATCTTAAATTATATTATATAAGTCTAAAAAATTATACTAATTACATGGTTATTTTCATATTATTTATAATTTAGGATTCAAGTGAAATACGATAGATTCAAAAGTTAAGAATGAAGTTCTGTAATTACTTTTCACAGTCAATAATTAAGATGTAAGGGTAAAATAAAATCTTTGTCTTCATAATTCTTCTTTTTTTTTTGTTATAGCCGAAGATGATTAAGAATAATAGCCTTCTGGATTTCATTAAAATCGTTTTTGCATCAATCTATCAATCAAATTAATATAATTTAAACAATTACAGTCGTACCTCGATTATTGAATGCCTTAACTTCATCAGGGAAACTTCGAATTCAGAGGTAAAACATACTAGACTAGACACACGTATAAAAATAAAAGATACGTTCCATAATTTTTTAAAACCGCATAAAACTAAATCAATGAGTTACAATATACCGAAAATCGCATAAAAAAGAGTTTATTAAATTTCAGAAAAATAATTAGTTACTATATTCTTTCTGAAATGTTTATTCATAATTTTATAAAAACGTTAACAATCGTAGACAAGTTTATTAAATTTCAGAAATATATAATCTTAACATATTCCTTCTAAATTTACACGGAAAAATTTTACAAAAAAAATACAGAATTTTTTTATGAAAGTTAAT